GATTTTTTGTCCAGACGTGTTCACGCAGTCTTATTTCAAAATTTCTACCGGTTTGGCCTGTATATACTGCAGAACATTCGCCACACTGAAAGTTTACCTGAGTAATTGATGCTACTGTACTTGAATATATTATGTTCTCGACAGTTTGGGTATAATTCACTCATAAGTGTTTTGTGAACCCGAAACCGGTCGTAAAATAAAATTTTCCAGTGGTATGTAGACAAAAATGTTTTCATTCATTTCATTTGAGTGATCATGAATTACCATGAAGTAAACAGGTCATCAATCAACAATATGTATCTATTCACAAAATGGAGAGACATCTTCATCTTCTTGTCCCCGCCGAATATAAAAATTACAATATCTGGGTTTTCCACTTAGTTGAAATCACGAGGTAGAGTATGTTTCTGATAATCCAGCTTACACTTTGAGCCAAATGGAAAACGCAATTTATAATTGCCCTCTGTGACTAATCCCAATCAACTATTATTCATATAATTATTCTCTCTTCCGAATAATCAAGTAGCCTGAAAACGAAACCTTGAAACTCGTTATATTTTTACAACATATGCAATTAAATCAGCCTCTGTATGTAGACATAATAAAAACAATAGAATCAGCATACCTGGTGACCTAGAAAATAATTGCTACTGTCACATTTTTTGGTATATCACTAGTGAAGGCACATTTCAGAATAAAGATTCTTTTCTATTTAATATGTTTGCATGGTATTCAAGTATAACTTTATTGTGAGAACTTGCGGTTGTGTGAACTGAACAGTTTTCAAAACCGCAATCGTTTCAGAATACAATAAATTCCACAGGCGCGTTCATACTCACAATATTGTACCTAATAAGTGCTTTTTATGCATCAACAATTTGATTAATTAACGGTTAGGAGGTAGATATTATCTATATATCACTGGAGTTTACTCCCAACACCAAACTGTCATTTTCAACACCTCAACACGTATGTCGATCACCAAGTGATCATCTTCAAGAGGAACATTAAAATAAATATACATACAACGTTGTCCTTATTTACTCTGGGGTCTCTTCAGTATGAATAAATCTTCAAACTATCCTTATTTATACCATAGATACCTTTGCTATGTACCTGCATCTCAATTATCTTGAATTAATTTAAGGTAATAGTCAGGTAAATCTGATGAATAAAATATTATTTCGACGAGCTATATAGTATACTATTAGGTATTGGTTCACCATCGTTATTCATAATATCATTATGTTTACTTATTTCTACATTCTAGTAGGGATCTAGATGTTGTTGACTTATCTAACTAATCTTAATGAACTAAAGTCTATAGAATGGTTTTGTTGCAAAATATGGTATGCGACTGCTGATTTTTCTGGTCTTCCATATTTTAGGTGCGCTAAGCGTTTCTTTTATGTTATTTCAATAGGTATTTTAGTCTGTCCATAATATTTTGCATCGCAGTCGTCCTTACATTTAATTTCGAAATATTACAGACTTTTTCGAATTCTCGACTGTGTCCTGTGAATTTCCTGAAAGGCTCTGTAGTGTATGACTTTGAATACCACCGTCATACTATGAAAATCTTAAAATTATTCTAACGTTCTTCGTGTATTGGTCGTTTCTAAACGTCGTGATTTCGTTCAATCCTAACCTTAACTTTTTCTTCCTTATAATATCATCTACAATACCCCTCAAGATGATAAAGATATCGGTTTAGTGTTGGGATAAAACACCAGTAATATTAATTACTACAGCAAAGGTTCCAAACACTGCATCACAAGTAGATATCATCTACTTCTTTCTTTTCAAAACACTATGAAAACAAACCGTTTACCAGGTCTATCTCAGTTCAATGACCGACATACTTTGGTGAATTCACCAATAATGTCACTCCTGTATCGGATGTGACTTGGAGAACAAATGATAATTTGAATAGATTCATAAAAAGCAATGAAGGCAAAAATTCAGTGTCAGACAGATGAGGAGTATATAGGTTGACTCATTGTTCTTGTCCATAACTCCATATTGGCTAAACGGGAATAACCTTTTCCTAAAGAATAAAAGAGCATAGGAATATTTTCACGAATGTGAAGACCAATTTCACATTTGCCTCAAGTGAAGGTGAGTTGAGACTGTCCTGAACGAATTGTTTTTTTTTTGTGTTTTGTTTTTATTGGGTTATCATATCTACTCAAATATTTCAAGTGTGTAACGGACATTCAGTAATACCGTGAGAGCAAACGGCATAAAAAAATCAGGAGTCCGCAAGACAAGTAGTTTTTTCTATTAGTGGGTGCTTGAGAAATAACAAAAGTTCAAATGAATTGGACATTTATTTGAGGACATTTTTAGGTCTAGTGGTATTCGTAAAGACTATTTCTTGAAATATTCTCAGCTGAATGCATCGATATTAGAACAAAATACCTGAATAATAAGAAATTTTAACAAGGAAATTCAGTTGAAACTACATTGTTCCCATAATATATATGAATAGAGTACGTAAATAAGTGAAGTCATATTCTTCAATAATGTAAACAATAACCAACTTAATTGAAGCGGCTAGATGCTTCACCAATACGTCGTATTGCGTTTCCTTTTCGATTTCACTCAAATTAAAAGTTTTTTACAACAAATAAGTTTGATTGATATTTTGAAATTTCTGAATATCATATTATCAAAATTGTTTCAAAGTTTCGATGATTATTCATGATCATATTTTAATGTATGAATCCATTGGTTGAATTCGAATAAAAAGCGAGATTTATTGAAATTGTAAAAATGATACATAAATAGGCTTTAAGAGTCACATATATTCTATATACTATTATAAATGTAAAACTTTGTGAGGATGTATATATGTCTGTTGGCTCTTTCACGCCTAAACGACTGAACGGATTGAGATGAAAAAATTTGTTCAAAATCTGTTTTTTCGTTAACCATCTGTCGCACCCAAATGAACGACAACCCTCAGGAGTCTAAACTTGTGCGAGCTAAGGATTAAAGGGGTCTTACCTTTCAACGTGTGATTCCTAACACGTTAAATACAGCTATACATCAGAATAACATATAGGTAACAGTTTACATAGGTTTCGTGTAATTTTGATCATGATATAACGATAAATATTAGTGAGTTGGAAAAATTCTAGCTCTCTGAGGGCCATCTTGGCGTGTGCTGCCTATACTGTCTGAGTTACATGGATATAATTACCGAATGATTGTTTATCTCCAATAGTTCTGTTCTAAATAAAAGTCCGCTAAAGTCCCACAAGGTTCGGTACTGGGCCCACTTTTATTCCTAATTTACATTAATGACCTATCGTCTATAAACATCCAAGGAAAATTTACTTTATTTGTTTCATACGTTGTATGAAGTTATTGAGAATGACATCACGAAAGTGAAAGACTGCTTTGGCTCAACTCTCTTGAGCTTGAATTTATCAAAAACAAAAGTAGTGTCCTATCGTTGCCAGATTGCAGCCGTACATCTGAATAATATTCAAATTGACAATGTACCAATTTCTAAATTCCTTGGCTTGTTCAGTAATTTAAAATTCAACAAACATGTAGATACTTTGAAATCGGAGCTCTTCTCTGGATGTTGTGCAATACGAGTAACTGCATTTGAGCTCGGATCTGCAGAAGCTAGAATGGTTTACCATTCCCTTTGTGAATCCCATCTTCGTTATGATATTTGCTTTTGGAGTGTGTGTTCTACCACATGCCTTCAATTAGTATTACTCATAAAAAACGTGCAATACGATGCATATGCAAAGCCAAGCCTAGAGACTCTTGTCGGCCTCTTGTCGGCCTCTTTTTGCCTCTAACAAAATCCTAACTGTGGTCTCTTTTTATATATGAAATAATCTACCTCCTCTTCAAAAATAGGGTATTGTTTAACAACTTGGACGCGCCAATGTATCAAACCAGGTAAATATTCAGCTTTAAATTACCGCTGCCTTCTTCGACCCTAGTTAAAGATTCCATTAATTACAACGGTCTCAAAATGTTCAATCACCTTCCTCAAACTTTAAGAAGCCTAAATGACCTTAGAACTCTTAAGAAAGAGTTGAAAGACTTGCTTTCTGTGAGACCTTATTATAGCTTAGCAGAATTCTACGATGATAATTTTAATTCAGAAGACTAACTGTAATATCTACGGTATTTTATTGATTTGATTTTATTCAATTTAATTTGAATTGATTTATTTAATTTTATTGATCATGTTTTCATACCCTGAACGTATCTTATATTTATATGTCTCTTTTCAGTTCATGTTATCACTTACTTTTAGTGATTTTACTTTTGTGATTTCATGTATATGTTATTTATATTTCGCATAAGACTTTGTCAATAAGAATTTATTCTTCAGACAGGAAAGTATATTTGAATTGAATTGAATATATTTCCATACCATGGAAATACGGTAAAACTGTGGTATGGGACTTTACTTGCGTTGACACGGTCGCGGCTTCCCATCTAGCCAAAAGTTCCAAGTCTGCTGGAACTGCAGCATTGTCTGGCAAGAAATTGAAANCAGCTGAAAAAGCAAATGCGCCACTGGAATCAATGAAGTCGCCCCGGAGCGCCAATTAATTTTTATTGTTGTATTTATTTTATTTTTATCGTTGTCTTAAGTTATAAGTAAAAAAAAATATATGGTTTTCTATCATGTGGTTGCCACTATATGCAAAATACTGAGCCATAAATACAATTAACTTGGATACTTTTTTTACAATGCACGTTTTGGAATATCTGTCGAATTCTTATAAAAATTGATACAATTGTCATTTTAAGCATTTGATACTGATAAACTTCCTTTTACACTAAGTAATTTGGACGAATCGTTAAAAAGTTATCACGATAAGATTAACTTGACGCAACGTAGTAAGCCATTACGCGTCACGTTTACTGTGAGACCACGAGGGACGATGTGCGAAGATAGAGGGACGAACTGAGAAATGAAGCGCCATCGCTGAAAATGCGACCCGAACGCGGGCAGACACATGAGGGCGGACGTCATTGACGCTTGTGTTAGTTTTGCGAATTTTCAATAGGTAACATAATTCGATTCTCGAAGCTATTCGTTACTTAGTCCAGTTGGCATTTTTACTTACTGCATTTTTAAAGTAAAAATACGGATCACTCGCTGATGTCCGTTCTTATATTAATGTACAGTCGAAGCGACTAAACCTAAAATCTTGAAATATGCAAGCAGGTTCTTTGTATAGCGTAAATAAGCATTGCAAGCAAAGATTGTAATTCAAATTCGTCAGTTTTGAAGTTGGAAACCTGAAGTTCTGGAGTGATATAAAAATATTGTAACTATTTGTTTAAAATGGTCTGTCTCGAAACTCAATGTGACAAACCAAATTCTACGCGGCTTCGCCCGCGTAGAATTTGGTTTGTCACATTGCGTCCATCTTTCACACTGCTGCCTATGTGAGTGATGATAAGACGACGACCTTTTTCAACTGGAATTTTCAAACCAGTGGACCAACCTTCCATAAAAGCTTGCCTTTCACTTTTAATGTTCTGATCTTGCCAAACCTTCAAGACTTTATGACCCTGATTGACTCATGTTTCATCCAAATAAAAAATAGATTTACCTAGTGCTCTGGCTTTCTTTATTTCTCTTGAATAGTTTCTTCTCCATTCTACAATCTCTGATATTTCTATCAACATGCTCTTTCTATCTTGCTTTCCAAAAGTGGAATTCAGCTCATGTAATATCTTCCGTAATCGAGTTCTTCTTATATCAGGAAAAAACTGTCTTCACGAATAACTGACAAAACTTTATTTAATGTAGGTATTTCGTCTTTCGTGTGAAAAGAGTGTATTGTTCTCCTAATAGAATTCTTGACTTCTTCATCGATAAGCAAACACTTTCTACCAGTGAATACTTTCGGCTCGAAAAAGTTGTTGTTTACCATAAGTTCCTCGAGAATTCTAAAAATTGTCGATCGATTGACACCGGTCATACTTGCGCATTTTTGCTCTACTTCCTCCTTATTTTTTATTTCGGATAATTCTTAAATAATTATATACATTCATAACAATTGTTTTTTCATTTATATTTAATGGTAACAATATCGGAAGCTTCACGATTCCCGAACAACTAGCTTTCATGTTGTATAGCTGTTTATTCAACGTGCTCTCAAAGTAAACTGAAGAATATCACGAATAACCCCGCTAAAAAGCCAAGTCGGTCTTATTGATGGGTGCGATGTGTCTGTTGACAGTATAATTCAAAGGAATATCTATTTATACCGCCTTTAAAAAAAAACAATGTTTTTTCAATCCCCTTCAACTAAATACCTATAATCGAATTCATTAGGATTCGCTTCGACGATTTCAGTGATGAGAGTGTCAATAGTAGTTTCCAGCATATTTAAATGCAGTTCCCCTGTTGAATTTTGATCAATAAACAGAGGTTCAACAATATGGTTTCCCATCAATATTCCTGCCCACACGTTACTTTTTTCTGGATATTGAGTATGTGTTTCCTGGAAGGTTGGTGTCACTCCAATAACGACAATTTTGTCTGTGAACATTACCGTTTACAAAAAGTGTACATTCTTCACTGAAACAAATATTGTCAAGATAGGGATGTCTTGCAATGTTGTCCGTCATGATTTCGCAGAATTATCTTCTTCGATCAGGGTCATCTTCAGTTAATTGTTGTACCATTTTAATTTTGTATGGATGATACCTATTTCTCTTTAAAGGTCTCCACTCAGTAGAAGGAGACACCTCACAAACATTCGCGACGGAATAAGTAGACTGTTCAGGATAAACTACCATTTCACATGCACTTGCTGTTCTTCCGGAGTGGACGGATGACCTGGGGGCTTTTTGTTATGTACACTTCCGCTAGTTGTGAATTTGGATAGAAGTTCCCTCAAATATTTTCTATATATAGGAAGATTCGGAAAACTCATTGAAAATCCTTTCTGTCTCGTGAAAGTTACGCGTCGCACCGTAAAAAAATCGCTTCTATTTTTTCTTCCAATGGACGAGAACTAACCATTTTAGAGACCCCCCTTTCTATTTGATTTTTTTTTCTCTGATGGCACCCAGTCGCCATCTTGAAAGTTTCGTCTGTCATATTCACTTACTATGCTGTTGCACAATTAAGGTTTCAATCTACAATTAAATGTAGATTGAAATCTAAATAAATTCTACATTTATACTATTTGTTCTGTATAAGATGACCGAAGTTTTGATTGTTATGAAGGAACTAGCTTCTCTCAAACTCACGATATAAGTCCTGAAGAAGAAAATAAACATTTTCGAAAGCTTGACATAATACCAAAGAGTTTTTATCACTTCCTGGCATCCTCAAAATTGATTGCAACCTCACAAACAGAAATCACATAGTGATTTCGAAGTATTTTCTTCAACTGGCCAGTCATGACCAACCCATATATATAACCATATATATACATAATATTGTAAACAACTTATTTCAGAATTTTCAATTGATTATATTCTAGCCAGGATTATTTCAGCTAACCCGATTTATATTTTAACATATTAAATTTGGATTAAGATCGTTTCTATATTAAATCTGCTGCTAACAATTCTTCTTAGAGGATATTCAGTTCTGTTTCGACTATTGACATAACACATTACTTTCAGTTCTTTGAAGCCTCTGTGGTGACTCCGTCTTGTGACCCTCACCTCACTTTGTCTGAAAATCGAATCAAGGCTACTGCGGAATTTTTCCAGTCAGCGTGCAAAGCTGGACCGTGGGTGAATGATCCTGTCTTAGATAACCAACTGAGTGAGTTTTTTAAATGAACTTGATGTCGAATCACAATAATAAGGAAATTTGGAAAGAAAATCTGTCGAGAGACAGTATTTTTATGATTTGGGAAAAGTATTTTATTCAAAGACCAAGAAATGTGACAATACTTATGCGAATGAAGTTTGTAGACACAAGCCAAAAGTGATATTGAAAACGGTTGGTGAATAAAACGGTGAATAATAATTTGCCCAGTTCAAAAAGTCTCGTTTGCAAACACTTTTTTGGCGAATCGATATATTGATGCAACTAATTTTCCTTTATTTTGAGTATTTCAATATTAAATTCTACAAAATGGATTTAAGCTTTATATCTTCTATTAATCATCTGCGAGCGCTTTCGACAGTTGGTAGTACTGTCATCTTCTGGCACTCCTCAAACTGCAGTTTAAGGGGTGTTCTCAGTAAGACTATTGTCATTAACTTTAAAACTTCCACATCTGGAATGGAACATAAGTACATTGAATACTTATAATTGATGAAGTGAAATATATAATTTCAATACCCTTAATTTTCAAAATAGAATATCAAGGAGTAATTTCATTAATTTCTACAAGTTTCAGTGAGCAAATATATGTGAATGTTATTAGAAAAAACAAAGAAATGTAGTATGTTGAATTGGCATTCTACTCATGATAATTCGATTCAATAATATTGATTAATTGTTCAATTCAAACAAGAGTTGGGAATGAAATACTGATAATGGAAGTATACTGAAGGAGTAGGGCGGGCCTATATCGAAAAAATTCAACGATTCATTTTCGGAAGTAGGAGACAGCTCAGCATATAAAACACCCAACATGAAATTTTCGAATCTAATGAGCCAATTCTCAAAATGAAAATTAATTTTTGCTCTCATTCGTAAATGAAAAATAATCAGAACTGAAAAATGTCAGTAATAGACGGTATAAAACAAAAGTAAGGGCACCTATGTTAACGAATCTTATTAACTGCAATGGAAACCGGAGAAATCCCCCTGATTTTCAAGAAAGCAGTTGTTATAGCGATAAATAAATGAAGACCAGAAAATTTAATATAGTAAACAAATATGTGAATTGGAAACCCTGACGAATGTAATGCCCTAGGTAATGTCCTTGTTCCATTGTTGTGTTCTTTATATATGGATTACCTATTTAAAATTTAAACAGATGGTAATATCATTCGTTTTCCGATGACATGAGCATTTCATATCCAATCGATACGCGAGATGAGCTGAAAAATTAAACAGAATGATTTTATCAAAATTAGTGATTGGTTCAAGCACAAAAAACTCTCGATGAATCCCGATAGAATCCATTCTATTTCTTTCACAAGATACGAGTGTCATGAAAATTGAGTATCTTGGAGTAACACTCGATTCACATATGCCATGAAATTTCTACAGTAGTCTAGTGAAAAAAATCAGGCCATTATTATACAAATTAAAGAGCCTGAGAAACATACACCTCAAGATATTATAGCTTACGTTGGCAATCACGATTGCCCTTTCACCCTTTCATTGGGTGGGTGTAATAGCCACTGTACACTTGTAAAAACTGAAAGTTTGTCACAGAAATAATGAGAACGAAATATTAATTCATTAAACGATTCATTTGACAAAACTAAAATTTCAAACCTGCGAAAAATATATGTGTATAAATCAATCATATCAAAACACAAAAATAATCATATATCACTCAATCAATAGAAACTTTTTTGTTTCTTTATTTTTCTAGACTTTATATATTTTTATTGTGTATAGTGTGTTTTATATTTTCTTTCAATTATTATTCAAATATTCAGAATAAGTACTGTATTGTGAAATAACAAAACAGGATAGCCCAATGCGCAACCATAAAGGGTAAAATGGGAATCTCATTGTTTATTTACTGACATAGTAGTAGTTATGAGAGACCCGTGAAACATATATGTGAATGATCCCTGTATTATGAAAGACACAATAAAGTGATTTCTTCTGTTTTTCAATATGGTTAAAAATATCTTTTCTGTAAAAAATTTGTTTTGAATTGAAAGTTCTGTCTTCTACTTACAAAACGTACGATATCTCAAAGTAATCAATCCTAATGAAAATTGTTTGTGAAAATTTTGGGTCATCTTTCAGTATAATTTTCTCAACTACCATGATTGTCTATCGGTGGATACATGAAATAAAAACTAACTCACTCAAATGTGAGTATTAGGCAAATTATTCAATTACTGTTTTCTGGAGAGATACAAGATATTGCACAAAGAATACACAATCTTCGTCTTTGATAAATTTATGCGATATGATTTTTTGAATATAGAATGCACAAGTTTGTTATTTTTTTTATAATATTCTGTATTTTTGTATTCTATTCGATGCTGATGTTACTTGACTGCTGAGCATTTTTCAAATATAATAATTGTCTAAGAATGTATTGATGTGCACATTTTCTGCAAAGAACTGAAAAATTCAATGAAGATGACATCATTGTATGATTTAAATAAATTATATTATCATAAATATTTTGAGTCATGATATTATATATTTGTTTTCTATTTCAGACAGACTATGTGTGGTTGATGGCAAAGGACATTTTAAAAGATCTCAAAGATATTGCCCCCAGCTGGATATGGCAGTTGATAGTAAAGTAGATTGTATTGTAGCACCAGATAGGTGAGTTATAAAATGAAATATCGAATTGAAAACGAAGCTTTTCAAGAATTTCGTTTCTTCAAATTCGTGTCTCTGTATGGAGATCTCGTAAAGACTAATAGATAGAGAAACCTACTTCTTGCAAAGTACAATTTCATGACATTCGATTTCTTTCTGTTACGGAGATAATCAGCAAAACGGAAAAATTCAAAGTTTTAATTTTCCACAAAACTTCCATATATGGTATCATCTGACTTTGGTCACCTTACTTTGAAATACAAATCTGTGTTTTTTATTGACATTTTTGATCGACGATATTCAGTTTATAATATGCAGAAATAGAATTATGTTCAGTAAGATTCTACAACTCGATTGTTATTGGGTTTTCATTATTTTTCTCTAATAAGCAGTCGAATGTAAGCAATACTGACATTTATCTAGCACCTGCATTTCGCACTGATTACTACGACTATGACTTCGCGCGAAAAAATAACATGGAAAATATAAAGAAATCGAAATCGTGGTTGGATGATGAAGAATGATGTGACCCAATCTTGTGAAGCTCATACTGGGTTTTTGTCATCCCTGCAATAAACAATAGCAGCAAAAATTATACTTTACTCTCTCAGTATTTTCGAAACTGAGAAAGAAATGTCAAAACTGTGACGAAAGATCATAGGTTTGTACTTATACATTTTCAAGTTGAAAATGACGCCAGCTAGGCAAGAGCGCGATGCTTTATTGATGTTATCACTATATTTTATGCTAAAATAGATTCGAATTGCAATCAAAAGTTCAAATTTCTGAATACTCAAATAATTTTTACTGGAGTCAAATTCCTCAAGCTCAAGTGGCATTTGTTGACGTATCGAATTGAGGTGAATTCATAACGCCATTACAATCATTTTCATGACAATATGTAATTTCCTAACATTTTTCATACAAGATTTTTGAAATTTCAAAAAATTTTCTCTCAGATGAGGAAATTATCGATTCTGCAAATTTTTTTGTTTGTTTGATGTCCTCAATAGAGGCGATGGTACAAAATGTTTTACATTCGATATTACCAGAAAAATCTAACTACTTCGCTTTAAAAGGAGATATTTCAAGATTTGTAAAATGTCACTTTGAATGTGAAAATTAGAAAACTTGATTATACAGGGTGTCAATTTGGAAACTTCCTACCCTTCCAGTAAACAATATGGGGAATCGAAAAAACAGGTCTCACTGTCAAGAAAGACAGTTTCAAGGACTATTAGTAGCTCTCATAGTTCAACCCCCTAGGAGGGGTAGATGTTACCCTCAGAATTTCAAATGGGAATGGGGTCAAGTGGCACATCAATTTTATTAGCGTTCAGTTCTGCTTTCAATTGTACCCTGACCTATCATTTTTTGATGAGCATTTTTCGAAAAATAGCATTCTAAACTCACACATATTATTAGAATTTGCCTGTTCTGAAATGCATTATTGTATTGACTGCTTTTAATAAAATTAGTTGGAAGAGTAGGTGGCAATGTTCCAACCCTTGAATGACAGGAATAAATGTAATAAATGTATGTATGTGGGATTTTTCATTTGTTGGTTATTGTCCTTTCACAAAATAAAATTTAATTTGCGAGAAATACATTCCAAAGATAAAATCTACTTATGCTTACCTCATAAACTATTCGAAATGTCTTCAATTCCGCTCCAAACAGTATTGAAGTCTGGTTTTGAACTCCCCTCTAGCACTAGGAATTGTCTGGCATGCTGCTGTAATTCGTATTTTAAGTTCTTCAATATCAGAAGGTGTATTATAAACAACGGATTCAAAATGCCCCCAAAGAAATAATTCTTAGGGTGTTGAATCTGGTATTCCCGAAGGCTATTCTACTGATCCCCTTCTGCCAATCCATTTATCTGGAAATCTCTCGTTTAGCCACTGTCGGACGGAAAGATAATAATGAGTTGGAGCAACCTCCTACTGAAAATGTAACAGATCCTCCTGCAAAAGTTCATTAACTTCTGCATCCATTCGAGTTTCTAGTTCATCAGTTATGAGAGAATCAATAGTCTCTTCAAATATTCGAAGGTACAGATTGTCAGTCAAGTTTTCTTCCAGAAATGATGGACCGATAATGGCATCTTCAAAAATATCAGCTCCAACATCATCTTGTTGTGGGTGTTGTGTATGCCCTTTCCAAAAAATAAGTGGGTTTTCGTCACTCAATTTTGTCTATTAACATTGCCACTCATCGCTGAAACAGATGTATAACAGAAGATTAGGGGTGGTATTGACTCGATGAGACAGGATGTCACAAATCTCTATTCTTCTATCATAATCATCTTCTTGGAATTCTTGAAGAATCTGCATTTTATAAGGATGAAATTTATGCATTTTCCATGCTTTTCTCAGTCTCGCGTGACATTCCCCTCTGTTCTGATACTGATCGTAAGGAGTTCGTGGGCTCTGCAGCAAATGTTCCCAAAACTTCAATTTGGACTGCTCCATTAGTACTCTGGGGTTATTTCTTTTATTTATTACTGAAATAGTTTCGTAAAACATATTTACCAAACCAAGCACTTACCAGTGACTTACATTACAATTCGGATGTCTTTCGTTAAAAAGGCATGCCGCACTTCGTAGGCTCTGCAACAAATGTTCCCAAAACTTCAATTTGGACTGCTCTATTTAGTACTCTAAGGTTATTTCTTCCCGTATTTGTCACTGAAATAGTTTCGTAAAACATATTTACCAAACCAAGCACTTACTGGTGACTTACATTACAATTCGGATGTCTTTCGTTAAAAAGACATGCCGCACTTCGTGCGCACTTTCAAACTTCGACATAAGCCATAATAATTTCAATTCTGTCGTGAAAACTGTAAACCATTTTTACACTTCAATACACTTATTGAAGTAATCACCAAACAGCCCAACTGTATGTACAATACTACCATATCGTTCAAATTAGCGAACCAATTTTTTTGGTAACATCTATTCCTTCCAGGGGAATGAACCACGAGGGCTACAAATGGTACTTGAAAGTTCCCCCTTGAGAATAAAATTTACCTGTTTCCCCACCCCTAATATCCTACTGAAAGAAGGATATTAGTGGTGGGAAGTTTTCAAATTGACAAATTTCAGTACTTCTATTCATGAAACATGTGGAAAAGTTTTTGTCATCTATTTGTTCCACATCAATTGTAACTGTCGCGGAACTACACTTTCCCATTAAATTATTCTTCTTGCCCGGCTTACGTTAATATTTGCGACACTTTGATGTGTTAATACAAATATCACCACAAGTGCTTTAAAATTCATCAAGTTGTCTGGGAATAATTTTATGTTTTAAATTGACTTTTGTTATCTTGTATGTTTCGAGTAGATGACAAAGATGTTAACATAAATTTATAACTGCATAGAATTCCATGAATTTTATCTATTTAAAATGAAAAACTGATATTATCTGAGCTACCTTGAATTGAAACTAATTGAGATTCACTTCTCGTAATAATACGCTTGAGAGAAGTTCCAGTGTATTGATAATTCTAATGTTTTTTACAGATCGGACTGTTTACGAAAAATACTGAAAGGAAAGGCAGATTTTTCCGTATTTGCACCAGAAGATCTTATAACTGCATCCAGTGAAGGAGTGCAGTTATTGGTGACAAATGAACTAAGATACATCAACGGTAAATATATGAATTTCGTAACCATCTGATTTTGAAGGTCACCATTCTTTCACTGATTAGTTTTGCTTTGGTATAATCTTAAACGCCATAATTTCACAAAATAGGGCTATTGTAAGAAAAATGGTGAACAACAACATGCTACTCTCGACCATAAGAATGTACATAATTTCCATACAAGTTCGATAATACAGAGTACCTGATTCAGTGAAAGTGCTCGTTTCTGACGGAAAAGTTTTCCCGCTTCGTGGTGGAATGTATTCAAACTAAACTGGAAGCCTTTATTATTGTGAAACAAGTAACGAACATATAGTTAGGTTAGGTCCAAAGTGAGTGGGTCTATTCGACCCTCCACCGCAACCTGCAAGGATTTATTGTGGCTCACACCTATTCACATTCGACCAAATAAACCCAGCTTCTTAACGAAGCCGATTAGTATGTATGGTGAGTGGTTTTTCAGGTCGGATGGTAAGAGTACGGCTCTGCCGAACTCTAAAAACCTGATTCGGTCCTCAGCGGGGCAGGAACAACGTATATGCTCTGGTGCTTCATCATTTTCCAAGCAGAGGCGACACACACTGTCTTCCGGCAGCCCAAGTCTCCGCATATGATGATTCAAATGACAGTTACCTGTAAGAAGGCCTTTTAGACATCGTAGTTTATACCTACTGTAGTCCAACTACTGTTTGGTATCAAGCTTCGCCTTGGAGTGAGCCAATCCTGCAAGATTCTGCCAGAAGTCTAGGTGTTCAATCTATGTTTGGCAAAGCCTAAAGCGATGCTAATAACAGGTTCTGGTCCGATGAAGCTGCTTGCATCACCCTCCTTTACAAGGGAGTCAGCAGCCTCATGTCCTTCCGAGCCAGTATGGTCAGGAATTCATACCAGAGACAATCTGTTAAGTCTTCTTATTGAGAAGAGTCGTTTTGGGCAATTTGCTACCATAAATATTACTGGAGTTCTTTCACGTGTTTCGACACGTGTTTCGATCACCAAGTGTTCATCTTCAAGAGGAAGATCAAACAGTTTAATCTTTCTCTTGAAGATGATCATTTGGTGATCGAAACACGTGTCGAAGTGTTCAAATAACATTATTTTAACACCTCGACACGTGTTTCAATCACCAAGAGGAAGATCAAATTGTTTAATATTCGCCTTGAAGATGATCACTTGGTGATCGAAACATGTATCGAAGTGTTGAAATAACGGTTTGGCGTTGGGTCTGCGACTGAAAACACCTGCTCCGGAACCGGAAGGTGTTTTTGATCCATCTGTGAACCGACAACTATCTGCTCTTAATATTTCCTTCTCCCGGAGGATCCAGTCTCCTCTAGTGAGCATAATGAACATATGACACAAATAATTACTCTACTTTGTGAATCGTAGAAAAGTATATGTGTATAATAGACTAGAAGAGCTCTTTATAGGTAATCATCAACAATGAGTACTGAACATTCTGGCACAAAAAATCAAGTTGCTCGTTTAACAACTCCTAGAATTTTCAGGTTGGTATTTCAAGTTGGCATCCTGTCTTTTAAATACCTGTCCTTGAAGCATACCTGAAAATTCTAATAAAATCGATATTTCAAAATTCAGATTTCAGTTTTATACTTGATAATGGGGTCAAACCCGAAACCGGTCGTATAAATAAAATTTACCAGTGGTATTTAGACAAAAGTTTTTTATTCATTTCATTCAAGTGATCATGAATTACCATAAAGTAAACAAGTCATCAATCAAACATATTAAATATTGTACTTTGTTATTCCTCACTTCGGTGTCCGGGAAGATATCGACATTTATTTTCAACTGGCATCAATGAGTGACAAAACAACAACAGCTGTCTAAAACTTCAGCACTATTCTTGACCATTCATATAAATATGATGAGTTAGAGTCAAGTAATCAGCTTAGATCTTCGATGACACCAACGTAGTTGATGAAACGCCCGTCGAAAAGAGTATTACAGTTTTGGCATGTAGTAGGATTCATTGGTATGAGACAGACATGCTTATTATTCGGTGCAGGGATTTTGTATCTTCGTTTTCTCACAGCCATCTGCGAGTCACTCATTTGATACAATTCTTCAAGGAACGCTTTATGCTCAGATTATTCTGATATTAACATCAGACATTTAGTTGAAAAATTGGTTGCATTTTCAACTACAATCAATTGATATTGGGTAATGTTTCACGCTACACAATTCCTTTACAGATGAAGTCACTTTTCGCTCAGTGTTCTCATTGATAAATTTTGTATCTTCCCATCTCAAGCTTTGGAAAAACTCTTTAAATGACTTAACCCTATTTCGTTACACCACTTCTTGATATTTTTTATACATTTCAAAAGTATGTGGTTCTTTCATTGAATAGCTTTCAACTCGATGAATATGTAATGAAGATATTTTTCTGATAAGTATAACGCTTTGTATAAACATATTTCTGAAATAAGCTGGATATTCGCAATAAATATCATGACTCTCACCACACCTCATTTTACTAACAGAGTAGGTTTTTTTCATTCATGGTTTTCCCAAATATTCACATTAGATTACTGTGGTTTTCATCAGGTGATATTAAACAGAATTGTTGATGAGTATTATGTATTCCACGGATTCTGATGATGTGTTTCCTATAACTCATAAAGGTCGTATAGAAAAAAAACTATTCTGAAAGTCTAATTGTGGTTGGATATAACACATTTTTTTGCTGGTGGAACTGATTGTTCCAGATCACTGAAACACAGAACACTGCATTGGAGTTACATCGTTTTACTATATTGTTCACCTACTCATTACATAAATGAATATTCTGGATCAGTATTTAAAATATTTTCCTCTCCCAATGGTCTCAGGCAGTAGGTAGGATCTAGAAAATGTCTGCGGAATAATAACGTGGCTAAGGTTTGAAATTGGTTGACAATGTTTCATGATGAATTTCATTAGTTCGTTCTTCAGTTGTCTAATGTGATATAAAATTATTTGAAATTCCTGAAAGAATTAATAAAATTGAAATGAAAAGCTGAAAATAAAAATTAAATTATGCAGAAAACTCTGAATTGAAATGACAATAACATCAAATACAATCAACAATTGAAAGTTACTTCACGACGTTTCGATTTTTAGTATCCGCAATCGTCTTCAGGTGATGACTGGACTTATTCCTCCATGGCCCCTCTGGGGTTGAATGTCCTGAGATAAAATCTTCCCCACCGGTTACTGTGTGCAGAACATCCCATCTCGTCCATCTACCACCACTCTTATGAGTGGACCTCAACCTACTGATGGGCACTTCAGCAAGATTTACATCTGACCTCCTGCGGTCGAAAGTCAGCCTTTAGGTGCTTTCACTTTCATAATCTGTTATTTTGTTTATCGTGAATTCACGAGTGTAATGTATGCATAGGGGCCCCCTTAACCTTACCGGAGACAAGTGTCTTTTGATCGTGAACTATGTTTGTGTAAATGTATTTGTGTGTAATTGTGATCTATATATAATCTGTCAGCAACTCTCGTAGGTGGTCGTTGGTTCTGCTTCGTAGGCCTCATATGTTTATCCTATTCGCGAAATCTGGGGTCGTCCCTGTTGAGCGCTTCATGCAGGTCACGCAGCGCTGGACTATCGTGTGTTCGTTTCTTTCGGCGTGATCTCTCGTGTAAGCGTCTACGTAAGGGATTTTGAGGTCCAGGTCCCGGTGGAAGTATCTGTTTGGGGCGTTCACGGCAGCTCGTAGGCAAGCGTTCATGAACGTCTGGATACTGCGTTTGTATGTCGCTGCGCACTGGCCCCAGGCAATTGGGGCATACAGAATGATGGGAAGTAGTACGGTCTTGATGAGAAGCAGTTTCACATGGAGACCCGTGTTACTCCTGCGGCCTATGATTGGGTAGCTCTAGGCTCAGCCGCATGTGGGATCGGAACGTCAGTCAACGGAATCTCTCGTCCATTGAAGATGACATTTTATTTCGGGTGTACCAGCTTCCGAATGACCAGTATCGCCTGACTCTTGTCAGGGTTTATACTGATTTTCCAAAGATTGGCCAATTCCTCTAATCTGTCCGGTTGCTGTTGCAAATATCTGGCAATTTTTGCATGACCGGTAGATGTCGCCAGTAGAGCTGTGCGTAGAGTGCCAACTTTTTAAAGTTGTTCTTCGGCTTGGGCACGTCTGCTGTGTATGCCGAAAAGGTGTGTTGGGAAATAACTGCACCTTGTGGGACTCCTGCTTCCAGAAGCCTCATGGTAGAGAGTTCGTGTCCTACTCTCCAATGGCATCGTCGGACTGCTAGAAAAGATTCGATTAGTCTTACCATTCGTTTCGAGTAACCAAAATGAGCAATTTTGGCTACTCCGTCATGCCAAACTCTGTCAAACGCACTGGAGACGTCTAGGTAAATCACTCCGGTGTATTATCCTTTGCCCAGGTTGAAACCTTCAGTGGCATATTCTACTACGCTCAGGACTTGTAGTTCTGTTGAATGTTTTAATCTGAAACCGAATTGTTCGTCTGGTAAGATTGCTAGTTCACTGGTTCCTAGGTCACTGGTAGCGGACTCAATCCTATTAGTGATGGCTATTTATAGGTCATGCGAGTGGTTTTACCTGTCCCCTCTTCCTTCCCACCGCTTCACCGGCAATCAGAGCACCTTCAAACAAACTCTATGATATACATTAGAAGAACTATCACGACCAGTATGAATCTAATTAGAGTGATCTATTTATAATTGCTTTTCTTTTTCAGAGGAACATGAATACGAGGTGGTTGCTGTCATTGACAATAATTCGGAAATAAAAAGCAGACATGATCTTGGAGGAAAAAAATTTTGCCATCCAGGTTATGGTTACGAGACTGATTGGACACGAATTCTTTCAAATGTGAGTAATGTCATAATATTGGTCCAAGAATTGAAAAGGAAAATGGGTGGAACTTGCGTAATTGTGTGGTGTTGTATTATCATTTCGTGGGGATTGTTGACAATCGTTTATTTTTTTCAGAAATACCTTTTGTTTGTCTTCGTACTCTTGAAATACTATAGAAAATAGAAATTTTCCAATCATTTCCATATATTTACTTTTGATCTTTCTAAAAAAGACTTCGTTTCGAAAAACTACTTCTCGAGTATATAGAATTGAACAGTAAACACGTTTTTTCTCAATTTGAACAACAAACATTAAAATGAAAAGTAAATGAGATATCATGCAGACTGATATTAAGCTTCAGTAGGTTTGTTTCGGTTATGTATTTCGAACTGTTACCTTCAGTAATTGAATCGAAGATATTATGAAACGTCAAGTCAAAACGATATTAATAACCTGTCAATTTTCTAAACGTGAGTACATTTTCAACGTAAGATGTAATAAATGTATGTATGTGGGATTTTTCATTTGTTGGTTATTGTCCTTTCACAAAATAAAATTTAATTTGCGAGAAATACATTCCAAAGATAAAATCTACTTATGCTTACCTCATAAACTATTCGAAATGTCTTCAATTCCGCTCCAAACAGTATTGAAGTCTGGTTTTGAACTCCCCTCTAGCACTAGGAATTGTCTGGCATGCTGCTGTAATTCGTATTTTAAGTTCTTCAATATCAGAAGGTGTATTATAAACAACGGATTCAAAATGCCCCCAAAGAAATAATTCTTAGGGTGTTGAATCTGGTATTCCCGAAGGCTATTCTACTGATCCCCTTCTGCCAATCCATTTATCTGGAAATCTCTCGTTTAGCCACTGTCGGACGGAAAGATAATAATGAGTTGGAGCAACCTCCTACTGAAAATGTAACAGATCCTCCTGCAAAAGTTCATTAACTTCTGCATCCATTNACTTTGAACTCACTACGTGATTTCAGTTTGTGAGGTTACATTCAATTTTGAGGATGCCAGGGAGTAATAAATAGTTATAAATAGACACTGGTCACACAGTTATGTGATCACGTTTATTCGTGACTAACCTAAATCAAATATCCTCAATGTAACTATGCTGTTGCACAATTAAGGTTTCAATCTACAATTAAATGTAGATTGAAATCTAAATAAATTCTACATTTATACTGTTTGTTCTGCATAAGATGACCGAAGTTTTGATTGTTATGAAGGAACTAGTTTTTCTCAAACTCACGATAAAAGTCCTGAAGAAGAAAATAAACATTTTCGAAAGTTTGACATAATACCAAAGAGTTTTTATCACTCCCTGGCATCCTCAAAATTGATTGCAACCTCACAAACAGAAATCACATAGTGATTTCGAAGTATTTTCTTCAACTGGCCAGTCATGACTAACCCATATATATAACCATATATATACATAATATTGTAAACAACTTATTTCAGAATTTTCAATTGATTATATTCTAGCCAGGATTATTTCAGCTAACCCGATTTATATTTTAACATATTAAATTTGGATTAAGATCGTTTCTATATTAAATCTGCTGCTAACAATTCTTCTTAGAGGATATTCAGTTCTGTTTCGACTATTGACATAACACATTACTTTCAGTTCTTTGAAGCCTCTGTGGTGACACCGTCTTGTGACCCTCACCTCACTTTGTCTGAAAATCGAATCAAGGCTACTGCGGAATTTTTCCAGTCAGCGTGCAAAGCTGGACCGTGGGTGAATGATCCTGTCTTAGATAACCAACTGAGTGAGTTTTTTAAATGAACTTGATGTCGAATCACAATAATAAGGAAATTTGGAAAGAAAATCTGTCGAGAGACAGTATTTTTATGATTTGGGAATAGTATTTTATTCAAAGAGCAAGAAATGTGACAATGCTTATGCGAATGAAGTTTGTAGACACAAGCCAAAAGTGATATTGAAAACGGTTGGTGAATAAAACGGTGAATAATAATTTGCCCAGTTCAAAAAGTCTCGTTTGCAAACACTTTTTTGGCGAATCGCGAATATTTTCCCTCAAAACATTCTCTCTCATATTTTTTACATATTTTTTACAGACATAAAAAATTCTGTATCAGAAAGGGTATGAAGAAATGGTATATTCTTCATCTCTTTTTGCAATGAGTTTTTCAGCAACTTATTTATTTCACTTTTTTATTTAAGAATTGATCAGTTTTGATAATGAATTTTATTTTTCTCAGAAATGGTTCTATGTCATTATCTTCGTTATATTTTTGAGTATTCTTCATAATTCTTCTATCTAATTCAATGTAATTGAGATTCAATAAAATACTTGCAATTTTTTGCCAACAATCCATTTCTATTCGGTTGCAATCTAAGCGGCAACCAGTGTTAATTTTCCTCCCCATCAGCATCTCTGTCTTTCAACAAAGATAATGCAATTTCATGATCCCCACTTTTTTTTCCATTTCAAGTATGATTCTAAACCAGTTTATTCAACTTTTTGATTGAGTGAAATGGAAACAGCATACGTGGAAGTTGTTCCAGGTAATTAGTGTATCAGTGCAAAAAAACCTACAGTTTCAAATCCAATGTTTACTACCTACGCTTGTTTTCATTTTTGGACCTGTATTCTTAATTGATTGATTGATCAATGGAAAAATGAGGCGCGGTACTATGCTCATTCCACTGTGTGCTGGCAATATACAGTGCATTTCTTTAATGTCCCCCCCTTTTATTTTTTGAACGGGTCAACTCAAAAAGTTGAAATTTCGGATAATGGAATTATTGCATGAATACTTTATTTTGAAGTGAAATTGATAAATGAAACTTTCAAGATGGCGACTGGGCGCCATCTGGTAAAAAAAATGAAATGGAAAGGGGGTCTTGTGACACACCTTTTTGGAGCTCCTGACAAATGTTCCACAACCCTAGAATATAATGTAAATATCTTCAACTACTACAAAATGGAGGAACTTTTAATAATTGCCTGAATACATTGACATTCAACTACATAATATGAGTTAATAAGCTTGAGGTCTGTTCAGAAGATGCTCGAAATGGTTTCTTTGTACCTCTTGACATATGAACAGCTTATCCCATATTTCACGCCGAACATTTTCGAACATAGTAACGTCAATATCTCTACAAATTTTTATTATTCTCTGTCGTATATCCAATATTGAAGCAGGTTCAGTTTGGTATACCTTTTGCTTCAAATAGCCCCATAAAAAAATCCAAAGGTGTCAAAAAGGTGCCAAGTGGGCTGGTCACTCCGTAGGACCTCGACGACCAATCCGACGACCGGAAAAAGTAGTATCTAAATAGTTTGTTACTTTCTGGAGTAATGTGGTAGTGCTCCATCTTGTTGGACTATAATATCCATATCGAATTCATTAGGATTCGCTTCGACGATTTCAGTGATGAGAGGGTCAACAGTAGTTTCCAGCATATTCAAATACAGTTCCCCTGTTGAATTCTGATCAATAAATAGAGGTTCAACAATATGGTTTCCCATCAATATTCCTGCCCACACGTTTCTTTTTTCTGGATATTGAGTATGTTTCCTGGCAGTGTTGGTTTCACTCCAATAACGACAATTTTGTCTCTGAACATTACCGTTTACAAAAAGTGTACATTCTTCACTGAAACAAATATTGTCAAGATAGGTAGGATGCCTTGCAATGTTGTCCGTCATGATTTTGCAGAATTATCTTCTTCGATCAGGGTCATCTTCAGTTAATTGTTGAACCATTTTAATTTTGTATGGATGATACCTATTTCTCTTCAAAGGTCTCCACTCAGTAGAAGAAGACACCTCACAAACATTCGCGACGGAATAAGTAGACTGTTCAGGATTAACTACCATTTCACTTGCACTTGCTGTTTTTCCAGAGTGGACGGATGACCTGGGGGCTTTTTGTTATGTACACTTCCAGTAGTTGTGAATTTGAATAGAAGTTCCCTCAAATATTTTCTATATATAGGAAGATTCAGAAAACTTTCATTGAAAATCCTTTCAGTCTCGTGAAAGTTACGCGTCGCACCGTAAAAAAAATCGCTTCTATTTTTTCTTTCAATGGACGAGAACTAACCATTTTAGAGACCCCCCTTTCTATTTGATTTTTTTTTCTCTGATGGCGCCCAGTCGCCATCTTGAAAGTTTCGTCTGTCATATTCACTTCAAAATAAAGTATTCATGCATTAATTTCGTTATCCCAAATTTCAATTTTTTGAGTTGATCCGTTCAAAAAATTAAAGGGGGATATTAAAGAAATGCACTGTATGTATGCATACATTATAAACAGTTGCAAATCCTGTATGAATGCACGTCGAAAAGTTTTCAGTACGAGAAAATACGTGGCCAGTTTCGAAACTTCTCTTCCTTTCTCATATTAATGGGATGAGAATTGTTGCCGTCATGCGCCAAAAGGAAGCTGAATCCATTAGGTGATCTGAGAGATCGATATGTTCTCAACTTGCAGACTCTTTATGAATATCTTGTGTACGTGAGTGTACGTGAAGCAACATAGTCACGTGAAGCGACTCTTTCTATCCTTTTTATGTACGCAATTCAAACCTGTACGTAATCAAGATGTACATCATCAAGAATACTTCCAAGAATACTCGATTTATTATTATCGGAATTTTGATTCATTCTTTCCGTATACATTCAAACACATTTCAGATGGTCTTCGTTTTTGTAATATCTGAAATTTTTTATATCATTGTGATAAATCATTGATACTTCATTGCTAATATGCAAAAGCGTTCATGATTCGACTACTTCATCCATTTCAAATTGTCGTTCAGTCAATACTAGAACCAGATTGAAAAAATAAAAAAATATCGTAATACCACAATATCGTAATACTTTGTTGATAGTTTCTTCATATTTAAATATTCAAAATTCAATATGAGTCACTGAATTATGTCATTGGCTAATAATGTAAGATGTGATTTTTATATTAACAAAAGTACATTATCATAAGCACGTATTACGGTATTTACATCACGATTGTTGTAAAAACTGATCTCGTTTAATTTCATGAATATTTCAGTTCTTCAAATGAAACTAAATTGAAATATTTTGGATATTCGATAAAATTTTTCAATAGTTTATAAAGTTTGATTCCATATAAGTAATTTTAGAAATGGACCCAAAATTGATTTCCAATCATTTTGAAAACATTTTTTTTCATCATCGAGAGTGTTGGGCATCACTTTGAAATATTTTTCACACATATTTATCAACAAGGGAGAGCTTTATACTTTCCATTCGAGTAGACCTATTTTTGAAAGCCAAGCATCAGAAAATAGTGAATCTAAAACTGTTTCCAATGAACTCATTTTTGATCGAAAAAAAATTGGAAGATGACACCTCCGATTGGAAAGTTGAAAGTTTTGCAATGGTTTTAGAATCAAACTTGTCCTTGTCACAAACATAACAAGCTTTCTATTTCAGCAAACTCAGTATGAGTATGTTATCTTCCAAACTACCTTGGACACAACTAATTAAAGAAATCGAGTCCTCGATAGAATTTCATGTATTCACTTTCTTAATTCACCAAAACTGATGAATAATCGATTGTGTTTATTTACTTGAAACGCTTATTTCAGAGGAAAAATATCCACAACTCTGCGAACTTTGCGGATCTCCCGGAAGATGTACTACTCACGATAAGTACTGGGGAAGACGAGGATCACTTCTCTGTTTGACTGATGGTGCTGGAGATATTAGCTGGGCACGACTAGATGACGTCAAATCGCACTTTGGATTAGTTGCAGGAAGCGCCGAAGCAACTCCGGAAAGATATAGCTTTTTGTGCCCCGATGACTCCATAATTCCAGTTAATAGTAGCAAACCTTGTGTTTGGGTGGTGAAACCATGGCCTGTTGTAGCTGCAAAAAGGTATGAATAGATCACTTCAATCAATACTAAATAAAACTATAAATCCTGTTCTTTTTTCAAATTGAAAAATGATGTTTACTTATCTGCTTGCTCTAAGTCCCGTACTATATGTTCAAAATATTTTCAGTTATTAAATGAGAAAGATATATTTCTCTTTCGAATACTCAACCATTATAGAGTCTCTGAACAATAATTGAATTTCAGAGAAAAGGCAGATGAGATTCAGAAGCTGGTATCATCGCTATCACATAAGGATCAAAACACCTGGAAGTTCAGTTTATTAAACCTCATCGAGACATCTTATACAAATTTCTTCAAGTTGCCAACACTGGAACCGATTGAAAGCTATCTGGATCGGGCTACAGGTAAATCTCTTGCATAACAGTGGAGTTATCGAAATTCAAAAATGTTCTCTAAATACTTGTTTAAATCACTTATAAAATGATAATAGAGACACGACCCGGTTCATATGGGTTCATATGGAAAATGGTTCCCGTTTTTACTTGAAGAATGTGATTATGAAGAGATTAGGGCTGGAATATTCCAGCAGAACATTTTGTAACATTCTGAAAGCGTTCAACATGGTCTGGAGCGTAAGGTAACCTGTCACGTGTTTACGGTATAAAAAACATCATCCTTTTTTTTCCGACTTCAGCCCATTCGACCTGGGAAAAACGAATGTCAGGTGCTTTATTAAGTCGAGATCATCAATATTGCTGAAGAAGATCCCATGCATTATTCGCGGAAAGAGTTCTTTATAAAAGTTACCTCATCGAAGTGGCATTGTTCCACTCCGAAGTAAGTATACGTCTCTTCGTCATCCAGATGATGTACGAAACCTTCAACTACCAACTGCACATTCTCTTCGTGAGCAACACATCCTGTTAACGTTTTTCCAAATGGATACAATTTTCAGCGATCCAAATCCAATGTGAATCGCTACTTTCGCACAAGCACCGCTCTGAGAGCAGTTTAAGAATTTTCCTATAGTGCTTGTGTTTTGTCCTAAAAAAATCGTCCTCTTTCGATATGGATTACTGCATATTTATGTGTTCCGAAATTCATACCAATACATGCGTCTAGTCTTCTCCATAAGTATAGAGCTTGAGTTATTCATATTGAATGAATCGGTTATATTATGGTTTCGCCGGATGCCGCAGCTAATGAAATCTCCTTGAAATACATCCCGTCTGAAAGTGACTCCAGTTTCACCGGATATTGAGGTAGAGCGAGTCTTCTAGAGTGATATCAGTTGTTTCAAGACATCTTACTACTCGGTTTGGTATCGCAAGGCGTCTGATCAAATGCACAAAGTGTTCATGTCATGTTTTCTAGAATTCCTTGCTGTAATCGATCCATTATTCAATGAATTTGGCACCTCTTATTATTCACAACGGATTCAATATCCCCCGGAGCATACGGCAACACCGGTGTCTCGTCAATTCCAAAGGAGAGCCGAAGTTGATGATGGAGCATAATAAGGGCCACGTTATTTCCGTGGATATACGCTGAAATCGCATATGTTAGACATACTCCCAGAACATGCTTATGCATGTTCAACAACAATTCAGTGACAGAATTGTAGTCACCGCGTTCAGTGTCGAAAATAAAACCAAGTTCATCGGCCCCTCGGGCAGCTGTCTTGAAGAGAAATGTACAAGCGATTTTTTTTTACGATCATCACCATGAGAGGATCCGAACTCTTGTAGACTTTACTGGCGCCAGCCAACTACTCCGAAAGAGTAGAGTAAGATCGGAACGGCAAGCATGTTCGTGGAAGCAACATTGTTCTCTCCCGACAGTTCAGATGACCACATCTGTCGACATATTCAGTTTTTGGAAGTGATTGTTTTCTCCCGACAATTCCGATGACCAGATATGTCGAAGTATTCAGTTCTTGGAAGTGATTTCCACCCCAGAGTAAGTAAATGTGTCTCCTACATACAGATGATGTAGAATGCTTTCATCTATGAACTGCACATGCTCACCGTACATCGTTCTGTTTTGAGATATATCGTTTTATATTTGTCTGCTCCCAATTTCATACCGATAGCATTCGAATTGTAAGTTCACGCCACAGGAACCACTTTTTGAAAATACTTTAATCAGATTAACAGACTCTAATTTTCTAACAAACTTCCGAGTAAATTACGGTAGTCTTTCCTCGGTAGGGATAATACTAGTGAGTTGGTACAGCAGAGGGTTTGGAGGGTTGTTTTTGGGGTTATTGGTTATTGGGATGTCTTAATCTTGTTATGTAACTTATGGCATTTGTTTCAGATACTTTAATTGTTTTCAAAGCCCTTTGTTTGATATTAAGAAACAGTGGGTGCGAGTATTCCATAAGTGGACGACAGATTAGTTTATATATTCGGCTTGCTGTTGATATGTTTGCACCTATAATACATAATAAATATTATCGTCTTCGAGATCATGGATGGGTTTCCGTTGTTGAATTTTTCTAATTTGTTCAATATGTCGTCGATGCTTGGAATCAGATATCTATCGTCAATTATTTTCTTGTTTAGCTTATGATAGTCAACAACTATGCTCTATTTTTTCCAGAGGCATCCGTCTTCTTTGGTATAACCTATATTGGGCTGCTTCAAGAAGATGCTGATGGTCGTATTATTCCGTCATTTGACAGTTTCCGGATTTGATTATTGTCTTTTGCTTTATGACAATGAGGAAAATGATAAGACTCAGTATGAACTGGGATTTTTTCTGATGTTTCAATTCCATGTCCTGTTTCATTTGTGAATGTGAGTTTTTACTGATAATTGACGGCAACGCATTCGTTATCTTAGTAATAGCACCATGTCTGTCAATTTTGGTGAATCATGTTCTGTTTTAAAAATTTCAAAGTATTCTTTATTTATCTGAAAGGTGAATTCTTTCTTCAATAATGCCCGTGTAATAAATGATATTTTTGCACCAATCTATATCTGAGCTCTAGATATCTCTGACTTTGCCATTTATATAATGCTTAGGATATATTGATTCAATGTATCGTCAGAACGCTGTGATATTTTTTATAAAATGTATCAATGGCACTGATGAACCTTTCGAGAGTATCTGAAGATTCTTGGTTTACTGGTATAGATGTAAAAAAATGAACGAATGTAGTAAGCTTTCAATTACAGTGTCAGTCGTATTGTTCATCAAATTCATCAGGAAGAATCACCCAATAAATCTTTCAAGTTTAAATACAGTTGATACTCAAAGCCGGAGACAATATCTTTTGAATTCGAGCTAGCTAGAAAAATATTTCTGAAACATCGTTTTTTGAAAAAATAAACACTTCCTATAAACGTATAATTTAAACCATTTACTTCCTCTGCATCAGCGAATGTTACAAGCTTTTTCCTTTCTATCACTCAATAAAAGCACTGCTTGCTAATTATAGAATGTGAATAATGTTGAATATGCGTTTCCTGATTCGCGATTCCTATGTAATTCGATTTCAATTTCTTTTATTCGTTTTCATTCCTAACCTACTTGATTCCTATAAAGAAAAGTTTCATTCAAGCCGTTTTTGTTTAAGGTTACCTCAGTGCAAACAGTTTCTCAGGATGCCATCCACCGAGAACAATCAGAATTTGCACAACATCCATAATCGAAAATGCGAAATGTTCATGGATGCGAGAGTCTGCGGGAGTATATGGAGTGGAACCAGATTTGGAGTGTATCAAGGCTGATAACACAACTCATTGTATGATGGCTATCAATATGAACGCCGCAGATGTTGTGATGGTTCCTCCTGATATGGTCCATGAAGCAGTCGAGTAAGATAAACCAAATATTTGGATAGATGAATGAACATATATGAACATAAATGAAATAAGTGGTACATAATGAAAATTACTGGAGCTTAATTGAAGATAATCAAACTGAGTTTGATGATCNTCGAGGTGTTAGAATAACGATTCGGTGTTGAGATAAAACTTCAGTAATATTAATTGCAACAAATCGAGAATAAATAAAAAATCCCCTGATCAATTTTTCAAATTCAACAATTTTTCTATTATTATTTCATATTCTATCATGAAATATCTACCTTACGTCGCGGATTTCTGGACTTTTGTTTTGCAATATTTTGAAGTTCTTGTTATCAAACAAGATATTATCAGAGTAGTTGAATCTATAAAATGCTCAAAAATACAATAAAAAAAAATTGCTAGAATATCATTAAATTTTGTTTTTATTTTTTACGTTTCTCGAATTTTGTTATGTTTATATTTGTGTAGAATTATTAGAATAACGTTGTGCTGCAATCTAACTTTTTACAGCCAGTTGCTGGAAAATTTTTAAGGATGGTTTATATTTTTCACGTTTCTCCAACTTTGATATGTTGATATTTGTGTAGAATTATTAGAATAATGTTGACTTGTTGCAATCTAACTTTTGACAGTCAGTTGCTAGAACATTATTGAGGGTTGTTTTCATGTTTCACGTTTCTCAAATTTTGATATGTTGATATTTGTGTAGAATTATTAGAATAATGTTGACTTGCTCTAATCTAACTTTGATAGCCAGTTGCTAGAACACTATTGGGGGTTGTTTTCATCTTTATTAGAATAATGTTGACTTACTGCAATCTGACTTTTTACAGTCAGTTGCTAGAACATTATTGAGGGTTGTTTGCATTTTTCACGTTCTGATATCTGTATCTAGGAGAGTACATACTCTAATGGTACGAGAAATATTTTGGAGTATGGTATTATCCGTAATGGTATTATCCAAGGAAGTAGTCGCTTCCCAACAGAAATTTGACAAATTTTGCAAATTGGTGTTTGAATAATCCATTTTTTCAATGCCAAAGCGGTAGGAATTTGAAGAAACCAATCGGTATTACCAGAAGACAATGCTATCATGTTTGTTTCAGAATGCAGCATAATCAGGATTTGTAAAAGTTCCTATTTGATAAATAAGTACAATCCAACTCTTAATACGAAAGACATCATACAGAATGACCCTATCTGAAACAGAAATCAGTTATCAAAGTAGCTCCATATTTTAACACACCCAGAATTTTATGGATTTGGAGGGTTGTTTTTGGGGTTATTGGTTATTGGGATGCCTTAATCTTGTTATGTAACTTATGGCATTTGTTTCAGATACTTTAATTGTTTTCAAGGCCCTTTGTTTGATATTAAGAAACAGTGGGTGCGAGTATTCCATAAGTGGACGACAGATTAGTTTATATATTCGGCTTGCTGTTGATATGTTTCTAATTTGTTCAATATGTCGTCGATGCTTGGAATCAGATATCTATCGTCAATTATTTTCTTGGTTAGCTTATGATAGTCAACAACTATGCTCTATTTTTTCCAGAGGCATCCGTCTTCTTTGGTATAACCCATATTGGGCTGCTTCAAGCAGATGATGATGGTCGTATTATTCCGTCATTTGACAGTTTCCGGATTTGATTATTGTCTTTTTCTTTATGACAATGAGGACAATGATAAGACTCAGTATAATAAATGATGTTTTTGCACCAATCTATATCTGAGCTCTAGATATCTCTGACTTTGCCATTTATATAATGCTTAGGATATATTGATTCAATGTATCGTCAGAACGCTGTGATATTTTTTATAAAATGTATCAATGGCACTGATGAACCTTTCGAGAGTATCTGAAGATTCTTGGTTTACTGGTATAGATGTAAAAAAATGAACGAATGTAGTAAGCTTTCAATTACAGTGTCAGTCGTATTGTTCATCAAATTCATCAGGAAGAATCACCCAATAAATCTTTCAAGTTTAAATACAGTTGATACTCAAAGCCGGAGACAATATCTTTTGAATTCGAGCTAGCTAGAAAAATATTTCTGAAACATCGTTTTTTGAAAAAATAAACACTTCCTATAAACGTATAATTTAAACCATTTACTTCCTCTGCATCAGCGAATGTTACAAGCTTTTTCCTTTCTATCACTCAATAAAAGCACTGCTTGCTAATTATAGAATGTGAATAATGTTGAATATGCGTTTCCTGATTCGCGATTCCTATGTAATTCGATTTCAATTTCTTTTATTCGTTTTCATTCCTAACCTACTTGATTCCTATAAAGAAAAGTTTCATTCAAGCCGTTTTTGTTTAAGGTTACCTCAGTGCAAACAGTTTCTCAGGATGCCATCCACCGAGAACAATCAGAATTTGCACAACATCCATAATTGAAAATGCGAAATGTTCATGGATGCGAGAGTCTGCGGGAGTATATGGAGTGGAACCAGATTTGGAGTGTATCAAAGCTGATAACACAACTCATTGTATGATGGCTATCAATATGAACGCCGCAGATGTTGTGATGGTTCCTCCTGATATGGTCCATGAAGCAGTCGAGTAAGATAAACCAAATATTTGGATAGATGAATGAACATATATGAACATAAATGAAATAAGTGATACATAATGAAAATTACTGGAGCTTAATTGAAGATAATCAAACTGAGTTTGATGATCACTTGGTGATCGAAACACATGTCGAGGTGTTAAAAAAGGTTTGGTGTTGGGGAAAAACTCCAGTAATATTCATTACTACGCCGAAGATTCCAAAAAGTACATCACAACTAGGTGATACAGTTACACCAGAATGATGACATGAACATTCAACAAATACCCTGGTAAAAATATATCGCGCGTATTTCAAATCAAAGTTCCATCATAAGGCTCTCGGGTACTACTGGATCCTGCGGGAGAAGGGAATATTAAGAGCAGATAATTGTTGGTTCACAGATGGATCAAAAACACCTTCCGGTTCTGGTGCAGGTGTTTTCAGTCGCAGACCCAGAACAGAGTTATCTACCTGCCTAGGAACTTATGCGACTGTTTTTCAAGCGGAAATTTACGCTATTGAATTGTGTGCGGAGAGATTGGATAAATCCAATCTCACTCACAAGTCAATAAAAATATTCTCGGACAGTCAAGCGGCGTTAGAAGCTCTTGGCTCCCACCGAGCAACGTCTAAATTGGTAGCAAACTGCCAAAAAAGACTCTCTTCGACAGGAATACTAAACAGATTGTCTCTGGTCTGGATTCCTGGCCATACTGGCCTGGAAAACAATGAAGCTGCTGACTCTCTTGCAAAGGAGGGTGCTGCAAGCGGCTTCATTGGCATCGCTTTGGGCTTTGCCAAACAATCGCTTAACACCTGGATGGCAAGGAGAGTTATGGACTTTTGACAGAATCTTCCAGGATTGGCTCACTCCAAGGCGTTTATTTCAAACAGTTGTTGGACTACAATAGGGATGAACTACGATGTCTAACAGGCCTTCTTACAGGTTACTGTCATTTGAATCATCACATGCAGAGACTTGGACTATCGGAAGACAGTGTGTGTCGCCTCTGTCTGGAAAATGATGAAACTGCAGAGCGTATACTTTGTGCCTGCCCAGCTGGGGACAGAATCAGGTTCATAATGTTGACTTACTGCAATCTGACTTTTTACAGTCAGTTGCTAGAACATTATTGAGGGTTGTTTGCATTTTTCACGTTTCTCAAATTTTGATATTTGTGTAGAATTATTAGAATAATGTTGACTTGCTGCAATCTAACAGCCTGATATCTGTATCTAGGAGAGTACATACTCTAATGGTACGAGAAATATTTTGGAGTATGGTATTTTCCGTAATGGTATCATCCAAGGAAGTAGCCGCTTCCCAACAGAAATTTGACAAATTCTGCAAATTGGTGTTTGAATAATCCATTTTTTCAATGCCAAAGCGGTAGGAATTCGAAGAAACCAATCGGTATTACCAGAAGACAATGCTATCATGTTTGTTTCAGAATGCAGCATAATCAGGATTTGGAAAAGTTCCTACAATACAACTCTTAATACGAAAAACATCATACAGAATGACCCTATCTAAAACAGAAATCAGTTATCAAAGTAGCTCCATATTTTAACACACCCAGAATTTTATGGGAGACATACAATCACATTTCTCGACACAGCTTTTGTGAAGATATCAGCTAGCTACAAGAACACAACAATCAGTTGAAACTTTTTAAAATCTGTTTTTTCCTTAACCAGCTGTCACCGCCTCATGAACTACAACCCACATAAAGTCGACATCTTGTGCGAGTTAAGGATTAACGGGGTCTTACCTTTTAACTTGCGATTCGTATCACACAACATCAAATCCGTTTTTTCAATTGAATGGCATTTTACATAAATATGTTTGGTACGTTTATCGGGTTTGATATTTTTCGTTAATCGATTGGCACTTGGATTGTTAAAATGTAAGTTTTCATTCCTGGAAGAAGACACACGGAGAATCAACCAAATATTCTGATTGAGTTGTAGATTCCACAACAGTTTGAAGAAGTAATAAATGACCTTACATACCGGTCTGTAGGTATTTGTGTAGTTGAGAGAGGTAAATATTTGGAATTGTATTCTTGGAGTACATACATAAACTATTATTCGTGGCCAACAGATGAGTTATATTGTGACTAGTTCGACAAGTGTTTTCAAATCAAATATTCAATTTTCTATTTTTTCGTACGTTTTGAAACGTATCCCATAGTCTCTTGTTCCATTATCAGTTACCTTATAATTCAAGCTTTCAGTATGAAATATTACATTCTACGAAATGTATATCAGATTTTTAATAGGCAAGAGTTTCAATACTTTTTAAAAATATTGATGATTTGAGTGAACAACAGAAGTATTGCTCAGTATGTTGGAACCACTGGTGTTCAGATGTTCATATCAACATTGTCCATTATTAGTAACCATTGGTATGATGTGAACAACATATTTGGAGATCAAGAAATAGACTTTCACCTACCAGTCTATTTCATTGCCAGTCGTTACTATTACCGAAATAACCCAACAGGCAATGAAGAACTGAGTTGTGTCTCACGGTTGTTATTATTAGATTAATTTTGTTGACAACATTCAATTGGTGATGACGTAACAAATTCCTTGACCAGTTTAATATTTAAAACATCATTCACTTCCATTTAACGAATTCATCAGAAGTCAGTGAAAGTTGTTATTCAATCCATTCCGTTGCCTCTACAAATTGTTTTTTTGGAAATATAACTCTACCTTGCTTTGAGGTCGTTTCTTATTGTTCCAACGTGTAAGTGATATTCAGTAAATTATGCAACTAATAATTCCTAATATGGAAAAGTGATTTGAATGTCCCAACGAGGATTGGGCAAGAGCGAAGCTATACGATTTTTCAGTAAAATATGTTGTCGTGTCGTTAAAAATCAAATGTTGGCTCACAGAATATCGTTAGAAAATTTTGGAATCTTTCTGGTGATTCATATAGATTATATTTCTCAGTTCTTCTGTTTTTCGTTAGTTTCATTCCCTGTAGCAACGTCTGCCATTGTTTCCTTGCAATATATATGATTATTAAGTAAACGAATTGTCAATTGGCAGATGAATTGACCGTGTTTATACAACTGAAAAAAATATTTTTCAATTTGTTAAAAAAAGTAATAACTTTGACCAAAGTTTTACCGTCAGCCATTGTTTCCTTGCAATATATATGATTATAAAGTAGACTAATTGTCAATTGGCAGACAAGTTAACCGTGTTAATACAACTGAAAAATATTTTTTTATTTGCAATAAAAAATGTATTTCAGTTTCCAAAATCTTGTCTTGAGAGTTACTTAACATTTGGTGAAGTGAGCGTGCAGTTTTGAAAGCTTCTTTTATGTATAACTCCTTGAGATCTAATCCAATAGTAAATTTTGGTTTATATGAAACAACAGTGAATTTTGAATCAGTGTCTTTTTGAAAAGCTAAATATCAACGAAGATTCACGAAGACAGCGGAAAAAGATTTCCTTTTATACTATGTAGTGATATGTTATATCAATATTTGGCTCTCTTCCTGAGAGTCGAAATAAAATCTTTCACCGTATAGTTTTTTTGGAAAAATCGTCAAGTCCGTGGAAAGTGATGCTTCTAATTCAAATTTGCTTAGGAACAGATAAGCTCAGAATGTGGACGAAGACTTTTCTATAGCTATGTCCTTTTGATGTCGATAAAAACAATTGTTGACCTGCTTCATGCATATTTTTGCACATAGTCTCCGAATACTTCTTGACAAAGACCACACATATTGATTAGTTTTTTTATTGAAATATTTTGAAAGAATTAGTATTCAAATGAATCTAAAATATCTTTTTCTCACAATTTCACATCCTCAATTCCTCTTTGAACTCTCACGAATCAAGCATCATCATTAATTACCCTGTATTTCCAGAAAATACAATTTGAAAACCCTCTTCTACGAAACGGTACTCGAATCGGAGAAATACCTCACTGTTGCTGTCACTCGTCAAGGTGCGAACATCAACAGCTTCGAAGATTTTCGTGGAAAAAAAGCCTGCTTCCCAGTGTACGACGGTGTAGCATGGAATACCGTTAAAAACACACTCTTCTCTAAGAAGTTGATCAAATTCTGTCCACTAGACCAAGAAATGGCCAGCTTTTTTGGGCCGAGTTGTACACCCGGCCTACCGGAAAAGGAGGGCGGAAATCTGAAGAAACTCTGTCAGCAAGAAGACTTCAACGGCGAGTTTGGAGCTCTCCATTGTTTGTCTAGTGAAGCTGGGGATGTGGCGTTTGTATCTAAGAACTCCATTAGGAAGTTCACATCAGGTAAATTTTCAAGATATTATAGCGTTCGATGACTGTGTGAAGTTTTTATGGATTTTTTGAGATGAATAATTGGGTAACTGGATACAAGATATTAACATTGAGCTACAAATATTGTATGAATACAATCGATACTATCTATTTCATTAATATAATTGTTCTCTACTCAATTATTTCAATGAAGATGAAAGTTCAAGAATGTCAAGTTTTCTATTAAGAAGGCCAAAATAAAATATGAGGAACTAATTCTGATGATTAATACCCTTTTGTTTTCATTAGAAAAAATGAGGCTTAAGATATTTATCTAACCGTATTTGCTTTGAAAATCTTAATTTTAGGAAGTTGGTTGGTTTGTAATTGTTTCATAATTATTAGATCAATTGAGCCCTTCCTGTGATTTTTCTAGTTCCGAAAGTTCTGAATACCTCTTAATATCCAGTATCCAGTATCGCGTAACGAATGTTTCGAATTCAACTCAAACTTATGAAGAACAGAACATCACACAGTTTTCCATATCTTGCACTTATTGAAAAGAAACATAAGATAGTATAGTTTTTTTACGAAAGAGCCGATACCCATGTCAGTGTTGCTTTCAATAGTTTCAGTCAATTTATCAGGACACCTAATATGAAAAATAGATTGTTCTGCAACCAACATTACTTGTGAAGCCATTAATGGTTTTCTATACACAAATTATCTTGATTTGTATGGAGTATTATTGTACGAAAGAAGTGTGATAATGATGATTTCCCCATGTTTTGTATCAAGATGGACTAGTAGAAAGCCAAAAATTATTTTCTCATGATTGATTTTATAAACTGAGCGTATATTGAGATTTCAAAAATGCATTTTTTATTTGCATCACGGCTTCCGCTGAATACCTACATAAAACATATTTTGATCTTTGTTTCTATACTTCTATGTTCTTCATTTCCTTCTCTGATACTATGTGCATATATTTCAAGGTTTTCATTTAGTATTCCAAACTATAAGTGTACATTTTTGTTCTTTGGTGAGTAGCCTTTGAAGGTTTTGAATTCATTTCACCTAATAATAGCCCTTACACATTAATATTTATCAATGAGATAATTCCTGTATGAGTTCAGAAATCAAGTTGATTGGGTAACTAATCGATGGCATAGGAAAACGGCAGTTACCTGAAGGTAATGTCACTGAAAAAATTGTAATTGAAATATGAGCTTAACTGGTACACCGGAGTGAAACTTCTAGTACTTATATGTAAACTGTTGGTATAGGTTGGCCTATCGGGAATCAAATCCAACCACCATATTGAAACCAGTGCCAATTAGTGGTTTTATAAACTAACTTTGTGGACCACATAATTGAAGAGCTCAAAAACTTTTCAACCAGATGACGCTATTTCCATTTGCTGTCGATATCATTAGTGATACTAAGCTAGAAGCAGGCAAGAGTAAGTAGTAGTCAAGATGCAATTCATTGGCATCATCAGAAAATTATGATATTTGATCTGATCGCTTTCATCTACATAATTTTCTGTTGTTCCTCATTCATGATGTAATGTTGACCACTCCCTACGAAAAATTGTTCTTGTTGAGAATATATCATTTCAAACAGTGAATTTGTTATTCGGCTAGTACCACTTATGAGATCTATATGCTCTAAACAGCAACCACTGTCTGGTTTCGGAACATAAACCAAAAATACCGAATCATGATTATGACGAATAAACTTCAACTGGTTTCGACCCTATTCTGATTCGACATCAATGAATCGGAATTGAAAATCGATCTACGCAATGGATATTTTGGAAAGCATTGAAAGATGAAACAAATTAAAAATGAAATAAGTATATAATAAGTATGAGGAAATATGAATATTATTGATTTCTATGGAATTTACGTTTGAAATTTTTGATTTAATTGTTATTGAGTGAATGAAACAACATTTTTTTTTATTTTATAGTGTGTTCAAAATTTTTGGTTTATTCACTGTTGGTTCTGGAAATGATAATTTATGTATGCATATAATAGTTTTATTTTGTAAAGTATGCACTCAATCACATTATAAATATCCATTCATGAGTATTATTTGCAGATGAATCCGAAGGAAACCCTGGAAACCGTCTTTCCATGGATGATTTCCAGATTCTCTGCGAAGGTAATTCCAAAAACTGTCATCTGAGCTGGGCATCAGCTGCTCAGGCCATGATACGTAGTAATTCCAGTGACCTCTGGATGAAAGATTCCCTGGATGTTTTCTTGCAACTGGATGGATTATTTGGAAAAAATTTCAAGTTTCTCACCAACCCATTTACAATGTTTGGCCAGTACGATGGAAAATCAAATTTACTGTTTCAAGATTCCACGCAAAGATTACGCAACCGACCAAATGCCAGAGATACAGATACTATGCCATATTTTTATAATTTCACACTGAAAACTGATGATTATTGTACTATAAGATCGTCGAGTTCTAATTTGTCACCAACATATCTATACATATTTATAGCGTTTATATATTTGTCCAAGTTGGTGCATATTGGAATATAATACAACAATCCTATACAACGATAAGCACTGAGAAATACTGTGATATAAAATAATATACTCTGTATAAAGATTGAAACTGTTTTACTTTGTATTGATTCGAATTCCAACCACCTGCCTCTAAAAACCCTATCGAAGCATGCATATATTATCTGTAGCGGCCCGTTATTGATTATTTCTAAGCGTTCATTGTTTTGTTGGCAACAGCATGACACACATAATTCTGTCAAAACATAAATGCTGTATTAAATTTTATTCTTTGTAGTTTGTTAATGTCAAAACAGAAGGTGAGTGCAACATTTGTTTGTCTACATAATATATTTTTCACTAAAAACGTTTATAGGATGTGGGTAAAATATCCAGCACAAGAAAATCGTCTACTATTGCGTCTAAATCGAGTACAAGTGTTAGAGATGGGAGTACAGAGAGAAAAAGGGCTGACAAAGTGGAAATACCGATCAAAAAAAAGATAATCTCATCGTCTTCGACAAACGTAAGGAAAAAATTGTCAGAGAGCGATAAACCAAATAAATCTGCATCTGAACCTATGACATCGTCCAGCTCCCCTGAAAAACCAGTAGATATGAAGTTATTGAGTAGCAAGAAGCGAAATAAACCAGAAGTGCCTGTAACACCTAAGAGTAGTAGGGTATCCAAAACCCAATTTTTTCCTAGTAAAAATATGTACTCACATGCACTCAGTTCAAAAAGTTCACCAATTTCTAAAATAAGTGATAAGACTAGCAATAAATCTAAACAAGGTGATAGTTTTGCGTCGGGTAAAACTAATAGTGTCAAAAAAATAAGTTCGTCCTACGAGTTACCAACGAGAAATTCAACAAGAATAGTTACGAAAAAAAGTGAAACGGAGAATAAACTACTCTCCTCAAAGAAATCGAAACCGACTGGAGAAATTTCTTTCAAGAGATCGACCTCATCGTTGAAACATGTGACATCTGAAATGAAATCCAAAATAGAAACTGGGCCAAATTCTTTGGAGTCTAACAACTCCGTGTATACATCACCAGATTCTAGTATTTTATCTGAAAGGCCTAGAACTGCCACTCTGAAAAGAGGAAGTATTGTCAACACAAATATTGTTGGACCAGAGGCTCCTATGATGAAAAAAATTGTTGAAGGCCAATCTATCAGATCCAAGATGCCAAGCTCTTCATTAGCAAGTTTAGATGACAATGAAGTGAAAGCGGATTCTAAACCGAGTCCAAAATCGGAAACTTCGGAAAATGATAATTATGAGGAGGACTTTGAATCATATGAATCTGACTTCGAACAATACTCTTCTTCAAGTTCCACTAATTTAGATAATATTACTGGAGAGACAAGCAGCATTACTACCAACAGTGATAGTGATACAGATGCTCCAGTAACATCAACACCGAAAAAAATCATTTCTATCGGCAGTGAAGAAGAACGGAAACTAGATTCAGGTCATTATGATATGTCTGATTATAAACATAAACATATGTTGGATAATATCAAGGAGTTTGTTGAGAAAGAAAATTCCACTTTAGTTGTAATGAATAACCCAGCCTCTTTGTCAGATGAAGGGTTTGAGGACCAAAAATCTTTACAGTTGATCAACTTCTTAGATGCAAAGAGAAAACATGAATATAGGAAGAGTATTGAAATGAAGCAAAAACGTGGTAAAGAAATACTAAGCATGATTAGATTAGATTCTTTCACTTTTACGTTGTTTGATTTACCTCCCGTACCGTATGATGTTTTCATTAAGAATTATGGTGCAAGCAACACTGTACAATCTGCTTCACAAACTGGTGAAGATAATGTTGAAGAAGAAATTCAGACTGAAAAAATTATTACTTGCACTAAGTGGACACAAATCCCAATTTGTTTCAATAATGGCGATCCAGATGATCCAAACTATTGGAGTAACTATAAACAAGATTATTTAGGAGTTGGAGGAGATGAAGAATCGATTGAGAAGATAATTCAAAAACAGCTTTTTGATGATAATGCGTTGAACAAATTTTTAAAATCAGCAGGTGATCTCATTATAAGGATACAGGAAGAAGCGAGGATGAAAAGCACTGGAAATATTATGAAAAATCAAAAGCCTATTCCCTTCAGTGATGGTCATATTTTATTCAACACCAGTGACATTATATTCGACGGTACTACTATAAAGTGCGTGTCTTTTTCCTGTGATACGAATAATAAAGTGATGACGGTTCATTTAAAGAGAAGTGAAGTACTTGCTAAGGGAAGTGTTCTAGCGATATGGAATATATGCAATTCTGAAGAACCGGAGATGGTTTATATATCTCATGGTACCATAACATGCTGTACTTTTGGAAAAGAAGAATTTGGATTAGTATTTGCAGGATTAGAAGATGGGTATGTCAGATCTCTGCTTTTTTATTTCGGTAAATTGATAAAAATCATTTCTTAGGACATTGTCGATATGGGATACAAATAGGAATACACAAAAACTGTGTTTTTCCAATAATGTTCCTGTTCACTCTACGGATATTGGTTTTGGGCATCAATGCAAGATAGTTGCTTTACATCCTGTGAGAAATGATTCGAAAGAATATTTTCTTGAGAGGTCTTTGACAAATGAGGTAGGTCAGATTTCAATTTCGACAAATCTTTTGATCAGCAACATCATTTATAATGTTGATTAATTATGAACGTAGACATTCTCATATAACGCCCATATAACTTTGACATTCTGATAAATTTTAAACCATTACTGGAAATAGTTAATAAATTGAATCACAAAATAAGAATTGTGACATTTGAATGAAATTTGATCAGTACTTTCTTCTGATATTCATATTCTTCCTTCTCAGTTGACATATGACTCAATCTTGTTCTCTATTTCAGCTTTTTCGTTATTTAAATATAGTTTTATCTTTTTGAGTTGTATCTATACAGATTTTCGCAAAAAAATAGTGGACATTTTTCGAACGCAAACTATATATGGAATGATATTTACATTATTCTCATCTGAATTGAAATGTCGAGGAAAGTTAAAATGTCAAAAATGTTTATTAAAATTCGAACACTTTTGAGGAATCGAGTTAATTTTTAAAATGCAATTTTTAGCTTTCCAGTGTGAAAAGGGTCAAAACTTCAACTTAATTTAAACAAAAAAATAGTCTGTTTCTGAAAATCCACCTTCATTGAATAATGATATTTGTAACTCACATATTTCAACTCATGTTTCAAACGATTACAATTCACTATCACATATTCAATTAATTTGAGGCTACTATGAATCAAGATTATTTCGAAATTTCACATATTATGGTTTGGTTTTATCTACATAAACTTCTTTCAACTCCATGTCTGTCTGTCTTAACGTAATAAACTCAAAAATCCAGACAATTCACATATAATTTTCACCCAAGGATGGGGTGATTAAAAATACAAGTAAAGTGAATAAAAATACTCAGTAACCGAGTATTTTTGTGAAGGATATCGCACTTTTCTTATGGAAAATGGAACAAATTCTCCGGAATTTTGTCAAATTGCAGTCTTGACTTTTTTATCAAAATTGTCCATGGTTCGAAACTCAATTTTATGAATAATTTTCGTGATACGGGGTTTTGAAGTTGAAATTTACTCATAAATATTTTGAAAAGTGAATGAAAAAGTTCTAATTATTTTCAAAAAAATGTCTTTACTGAAATTTGTCTTGAAAACAATTGAATAAGTATTACATGTACTCTTTTCGAATTCTAAACTTGAGAAATATCTATATTAGAAGGCTAATAGTTGGGTGTTATACCTGCAATCATGAAAATTGTATCTTAAGATGCAGGGTGATATGAACAAATATATTTTCGAAAAATCAACGTTATTTTTTACCCTTAGTTAGAGAGAGGGAGAGAACATTTTCTTTATTGTCGAAGAAACCAACATTCGTGATTGACGAAGCGTCTCTGAGAGTACATAATGCATTATGATTTGAAAGATATAAAAACACTATCAAATGAAATTCGTCGATTTAAAAGGAAAATTACCCCACTTTCATTAGTAGACTACCCTGTAGATGGCTGTGATGGATATCAACTGCAATTATATGCATTTACAATATCCAGTGTTGAATCAGCACAGTTTATGATTCCATTAAAATTTCCTCATCTCGTTTTTAAAATATGTTACAGAAACTAGTGATGGACACATCTCATCTTTAACACCGCGTATTTCGAAAACTAATTACATGATTTGACAAAATTCCCGAAAATTCCGAAAGACATTTTCCATAGGAGTGCAGTATCCTTTAGTGAAATGATTATTATAATGAAATAACCAGAGACCATCAAAGACGTCTTCATAGAATATTTTGGTTTCAAAATTTTGCAAAAATGGCATATACCACATCGCCAAAATTCTTGGAACCCCTTATGTTTGTCTAAATGAGACACTATTATCATAAGTGAAGAAGTCTATCACAAAGTACATTTAATTTGGTTATGTTACCAACGCAAACTGGCTGAATTTAATTTTAACTGAACAAGGAAAGAAAATACAAACAAAAAATAGTGCATAATAAAATGATTACTAGAATATGAAATGTAGAAGAAAACCATTTTAGAGCGAAATCAAAAATGCATTAATATTCGCTGTGTCCTCATCTGTTCTGTAATAAGGTGTTAACTCGCCTGTGCATGATGGCTGAATTAAATTTTAACTGAACAAGAAAAGAAAATACAAACAAAAAATAGTGCATAATAAAATGATTACTAGAATATGAAATATAGAAGAAAACCATTTTAGAGCGAAATCAAAAATGCATTAATATTCGCTGTGTCCTCATCTGTTCTGTAATAAGGTGTTAACTCGCCTGTGCATGGAAACAATATGGGCGTTAATGGTATCCATTGGGATGTTGTTCCATTTTTCTAGGGCCGCGAGTGTGAGTTCCGGGAGGGTACTAGAAGGATTATTTCTGTTTGTGATTGCTCGTTTAACGAAATCCCACACATGCTCAATGGGATTCATGTCTGGTGAATTTGCTGGCCACGGTAATCTTTGACAAATCTCAACCTTTAGTGCATTTTGTACTCTTCTCGTGCGATGGGCCCTAGCATTGTCATCCATGAAAATGAAATTGGTTCCAGTGTCATTTCGTAGAAGATGAATAATGAGTTCAATAATGTTCCGAACATATCTATCCCCCGTCTTGGTATCTGGAATGGGAATAAGCTGCGTACGACGACCATGCATTATGCCTTCCCAAAATATTACTGATCTTCTTTTGTATGGAACAACTTCTCTAGCAAAATATGGTTTTTTGTCTCATCCTGGCCCTGTTCAAACTCTGTGTCGCCGACTATCACCAACTAAACTAAATCTGGTTTCGTCCGAAAAAAGGACATTTTGCCACTGAGCTAGGAGGCAGTCTCTGTGTTCCTGTGCCCACTGTAAATGAGCGGCTACTAGAAAGTAGCCTGGGTACTCTTAATAGCCTTCTGTATTGCAAATTGGATCTAGCAAGTTTCCGCCATATAGTAGTACTAGAAATTAATCGACCAAAAGTTCTTCTTGAATGAGTTCGGACTGCTGAGACTGTTATGGTTCGATTCCAACGTACATATCCTGCTAGATACCGACCTTCTCTTGCATAAGTTACCCTAGGACGCTCAGTTCCACGTCTCCAGTCATCGCTGTTAGTTGCCTAATACAAATGCACTATTCGTATAACTGAAGCGCGGGAAATCCTTAGTCTATCCGCGATTTGATGATTCGGCAAACCGTCATCATGCAAAGCTACTATTCTTGTTCTATGGAACACTGAAATTTTATTGCCAGGCATAATTGCATAGAAGAACTCAACAATCATTTAAACACGCTAAATCGATATGAACCACTTTTTAAACAGTGAGATTTCGGAGTTGTGTTCACCAAGAACGAGTTGGCAACTTCTGAGGTTATATATAGACAAATAATGGAAAAAGAAACTAAAATCCCAACAATACAACTTAAACATCCCCAATATGATTGGAGTCGCATCTAGTCAAATACCCTAATGAACACATATACACCAACAAGGTGGCGTTCCAGTGCTGATAAAGCCATAAATGAAGTGTTTCCACTGGCAGAGAAACTGAATTCACATGCATTGAGCATTAGTGCGGATTGCAGTAAATGTAATGTGGCCGATAATATTCTACATTGGTTAACAACATGTGGTTCAGCAAGGGGTATATGGGAGTGAAGTAGAAACAAACTAGTTAGCATATTATGGATTGACAACTATGTCAACGTCAAGATAGATAATACGTTGAATAGAAGAGTGTGGGTTTGGGCAATCTGTGGAATTGTTCATTACACTTTATATGTTCATAAACACATAGGAGATTTTATTGATATGCTCAGAGCGGATAGGTGGCGTAAAATTAAATCAGGGAAAATAGATAATTTTTCAAATGAAATATTTTATTTTTAGTTTCAATTTTAAATGCCTGAATTATAAATACATATGTATGTGAATAGTTTATAAGATAGATTGTAGATATATTTTTGTATATACATATATTTTATGAATGAAGGTATTAAAAAAATTGATATCTAAATTTAGAGGAAATTGTTTTCGTAAACATTGTGGCATGCCTAGCACAGGTGAAAGGAATAAAGATGAACGGTACAAAAAAAAACAGTCATGATAAATATTTTGTTTTACAATTCACGAGGGGGTCCAAGAATTTTGGCGATGTGTGTAGTTACATTTAAACAAAATAATTCTGATGAATACCATAAAAATGAACTAATCCTTGACTAATTGAGAGTTGTAAAATGATCATATAAAAAAGAATCAATTTGAAACCAATGATTTTCAAAGAGGGTTTCAATCCTTCATCAGTAATTATGCATTCAACACATTGCTTCGACAAAGTTCGATAAAATGTAAATCCACTCCAATCTCCTGAATCATTCATGATATGTAATAACTAATCTTTTATACTCATTGTCATAACAGTCAAAGCCTTCGCCGACAAAAAAATACTACCAACTTTCTTTGTGAGCAGCATTAAAATACAATGTAATTGAAGAAGGGTATCTGGTTTGAATACTTTTGGTATCGATTCATTTTATCGTTGCTAAGAAATCAAACAACATTTTTCCATCTATTACAGGAAAAAAGGTTATCATCAAAAAAGATGGAAAACCACACCAAGTCATTCATTTTCAGATGTATTCGGCAGAATATACATTCACGGTTGGACATAACTGTCTCAAAGCTATTCCGGGTTTTTTGACCATGGTCTGCAGATTTTTATGCCTGACGTTTCGTCTACTACTGCGATAGATATCATCAAAGGCAATGGATAACGGACGAAGTTCTCGAGTCGTTCCAACGCAAAAACTATAATGGTGGAATTTGTCCCCGGTTCAATATTATCATAGTTGGGCGTGGCTTTGTTTATCTCAAATGAATTACCTGAACTCGTTTGTGTACGATTGAGGGGGGACTACTTGGAAAATATTTTGAACATTAAATTCTGTGCATTTCATCGGTTCCGAAAAACTGAAATAACAATGAAATAACATACAATCAACAACCAAAAAAAAAACAGAAAAAATTGAATTATTAACACGAGCTGAAAAAAATAAAAAATTATTAACAAGAAATCAAAATTAACCTTTCAGTGGGCGCACGTGGAATGTCAGTCCGCACACACATACTATCGTTTGTATTTTTGTTAAACTTAGCAAGTAGGCTTCCTGGCTCCCTCTAGCTTCTCAACTCATTACATATGACTCTAGGACGCCGCGACAGCTCAAAGCAATAACACGTGAATAAGATAGGTCCTTGTGGAATGTGAATCCGCGCGCGCCCTTGCACGTATTTTTTTTGTTTTATTACCTTGTGTATGAAAAGGTAAGTTTAAATCAGTTGTTTATAGGTAAATAGCTCTATTTATACTCATTATTATCAAAATAATTTTCTAATAGCGTGAGTGAAAAATAAAATATTAGCGGAACGTCATTCCGCGCGCGCCTCATTAGGTTTCTTTTTACAATCTACACTTTGTTTCAGATACAATGTCCTATAATTATGAAACTAACGGATTTGCATTAATGGAAAATCACTTGCATGAAAGGGCCACAATCCTTTGTTTACCTAGAAATTTGAGGTTGAGAATTATGGAAATATGTGGTATCGAAGAGAATGGACCAGAAGCGACTAGGCAAGTCAATACACATCCTGAGAAAGGTAGATGCTTTTACTGCGATCGCAAGAAAAATCGTCAATCAAGATTTTTTTGCAAAAAGTGTCATAAATATATGTGCTTAGAGCACGCTACTTTTATGTGTTCTACTTGTTTAGGTTATTACTAAGTGATTAACGTTATTTTTATACTGTTTTGTGAAATAATCTCTTTTGTTTTCATTTTTGATTTTTTTGTATTATTTTTTGCATCTGTAAAAGCTTTTATATTTGTTATAAAATGTGTTTCATTCAAGTACATATCACAATTTACTTAAAACTTATCGAATATCCTAAAATATAGGCCCACACTCACATGCGGACTACCAGTCCGCACGCGCCTCTTTATGTCATTTTCAACACGCGCCAACTGAAAAGTTAAAAATATAAAATCAGAAGATTCCAAACCAAGTTACTTCATGACGTTTCATTGGATTTTTAGCGGGAGCTGACCGTTTGGTGGGAGTTGGTCGTGTTCCGTTTGATTAGAGGTTTCCATATGTTAAGTACTTCTACGCTAGTTTGGCTAAATGACTGAAGCAGGTTCTGATGGTATAGTTGGACCCAATCCTTCTTATTATTTCCGACAATCCTCTGATGTAGGGGAGTACAAGTACTGGTTGTGGCAGCTTCTCTTCCTTGTGGACCTCTTGCTGTCTTCAAGCTAAAGCCTGTTCCACCATCACTTTGAAGTAACCATTCCGTTAAAGGTCATTTTTTATGATGCCTAGTTCCTTTTCGAAACCTTCCTTTGTATTGCAGAGCCCGAAAGCACGGTCTAGTAGAGTCTTGATGATTGCTCTCTCAGTCGATTGATGGTGGTTGGATTCCTGGTTCAGATACTGTCCGGTGTGAGTTGATTTTCGATATACAGATGTTTCCCATTTAGTGTCGGGCCTCTTCACCAATACGTCTAAGAATGTCAATTCGTTGTGGACTTCCTTCTCCATTGTAAAAGTGAGGGAAGGACTGACGTTGTTGATGTGCTTCGGGAAAGTGTCTAGTTCTGCATTCCCATGGTTCCATATAATGAAGGTGTCGTCCACGTATCTCAACCAGAACCGAAAAAGCGATAAAAAATATAGGTTGCCATTTAAAAAGACACAGTTGGGATCCGCCCAGAAAAAATCGAACACCCTGTGTGACCGCCAATATTTTTATTTTGTCGAGCTCGAGCAATAAGGTAATATTATAGAAAATTAGATTCCTATCTGCTTCCTATATAGAGATATGGAACACCGCGCCACTGATGCAGGACCCTGTATATATAGAATTCGTCCTTCAGTTGGAAGTAGTAGTTTCGTACAAAGCATCCTAGTAATTCCATGATTACTTGTATGGATAATAGTTCAATTTTTTTGTTTTTTTGGTTGTTGCTTGCATGTTATTTCATTGTAATTTCAGTGTTTTGCTCAATAAAATCGTTTTCTCAGCAAATCTTTTTGATTTTTTATAGATTTTTCCAGGGATTTCTAATCATTTTATATCATATTTGACAATGGAAGTCCGAATTGATGAAATGCAACACGAAACATTGTCAACCACCTTCAAACAAACATTCTGTATTTTTAATTCGAGAAGAAATGAATATAACTTGTTTTTCAGATATGCAGCCTAGACGAAAACGGAGAAATAATTCTCTGGACAGTTATAGTAAAAAATGATGATATTTCTAGTGAACTGTCACATAATGTTTTCCTAGTGATGAACTCAACCGTATCACTGAAAACAGTTCACCCCAATTTGGTTGAATTGCAATGCACCGATTTCGTTATAAACAGCATCAATCCAAATTTTGCTTTCATTTCAACCAATTACGGATTTATCGTTCATCATCTGGTCAAAGGTGGTAGAGCTATTGTGAAGAAATTTTTGTCAGGTGAGTAATAATTGCCAATTTAGACGGATTATATTTCAAGTTCAATCGACTCTTTATTATCGAGTTACATAATTTTTTTTATTTTCTAGTCAAGTTCCTCTCTCCATAATTTATACAGGGTGATAGTTTGGAAAATCACAATGGCTATATCTGAGCAACCAAATGAAATATAAGAAATCGCTGAAAAACTTCCATAATAGGAAGAGGGAAACAAAATGATGTAATAGCTAACTTGTTTCCTCTCACATCCTCGCCTCCTGCCACCCTAACTTCATTTCTTAAATAGCACTCCATTACCTGTGATACCTTATCTAAAAGCTCTTGAAAATGCTGTTCAATAGTACCTTACGGAGCTACATTTATTGTAGAAGATTTTAGTTTATTGAATGAAGACAATTTATTCAAATTTGAATTTTATTTTCTATTATTTAGGAAATGATTGAAAACATTCTTGTTATCATAGTTGCATTAATATTAAGACTCTTAAATATTTAACGCCTGTACTATTTTTATTTATTTGTACCTGAAAAAAATTGACTCAGTTGATAAGTGAAAGTAACAAAAAAGGGGTGCTTGAAATATTTGTTTTTAAGAGGTATTTTTGTATTGTATTTTTTACTTCAAGACGAGAAACTATTTCTTATTGTCTATACATTTGATTATTATTCCGATACGCTGAACACGAGGAACCTAATTTTCATCTACAACAATGGTGTACAAAACAGCTGAACATGTGGAAAAGAATTTCTTTTATGGTAGAGAAGATCAGTGTTTGTTATGAACAACTGAAGTATTTTATCAGAGGCACCCGGAGAGAAATGTAAGTCACATTTACATTCGCCAACTAGTAGCAACATTTCAAGAAACTGATACTGTCACAAATAAAACAAAGGATCAACCGAGATGACTGGACGAATCAACGCAAATTGAAATATGCAGACAGTTTGCAATGAATCATACTTTCTCGACTCGTCAGGCAGTTACAGCAATTGGATCAAACCACGAATCTGCGAGGAAATTACTCAAATTACATAAATTTCATGCATATAAAATGCAAACCCTTCAACAACTTGGTGACGATGACATTTTTATTTATGGGCACGAAACTAAACAAAACTGTCGTTACTGGAGTGACGAGAACCCACGACTATTTGGAGATGGTCAATGTTCGGGTTGGTATGCAATTATGGGTCCATTATTTAAATGATATGCTAGAAAGACCTATCGAAACTCGGATAGTTCATGATTCAGAGAATCAGAGAGACATACACGTCAATTTATTATATTTTGCATCTGTAAAAGCTTTTATATTTGTTATAAAATGTGTTTTATTCAAGTACATATCACAATTTACTTAAAACCTATCGAATATCCTAAAATATAGGCCCACACTAACATGGGGATTACCAGTCCGCACGCGCCTTCTTTATGTAATTTTCAACACGCGCCCGCTGAAAGGGTAACTAACTTCAAGGAATAGGTCATTAGTTTGCCACATAGTTAAGATTGGTTCCTTATAGTGGTAACGATCAAACCAATATGTTACGAAATCAAAAAAATGAGTTATTCGGGATAGGGAAACTTGAAGAGGTAGGGCGGCAATGCTGCAAAGGAAGCAAGGGACAAGTGTGGGCCTGTTTGTTCACGAAATAATCCTTATATCTACTTATAGTCATTCAAGATCAAAAGGAATAGCGAAGATGAAGAGTGTTCTAGTTGTTTAAACGTAACCAGTTAGGTAAAGTTCGGCTTCGTTAAGAAGCTGGATTTATTTGGCAACCCTTGCGGGTTGCAGTGAAGGGTCGAATAGACCCACTCACTTTAGACCTACCTGACTAGGTAAAGTTTACCTAATCAATTTAGGCGCAAGTAACATAATTGTCTCAGATGAGTCTGAAGTGTTATTGGAGTATAAGGACAAGTTTTCCCTTTTTTTTATCGAATACAGTTATTGAACAGTAAAATAAAGTTGTTAACACATTCTTTCTTTCTTTCTAGTTCATAATTTGACCAATTTCAACAAATTTACTTTGCTGTTGGAAACCCATCAATCGATATTTATCTATAATAGTTTATTACATTGAAAAGTTCTATAATGTTTTGAAACCGTTTTTTTCACTCCACCACGACAAAACAATGAATAAACTTGATATAGGCAAACGTCCTTGGCAACCATGACCATTTATAAATCATCCCAGATTTCATGATAATATAGTACTAAACTTTCAATACAAAATGTTGACCCAATCCAACCGATTATCCTGCTCTCATCACTAACAAGAGACATTTTGAAAAATCATCTCTTAATGCAAAGAAAAATAATAGTTATGTGTGAAAGTATATGGGATTGATTGTCTCTAAGATCCATCTTGAATTTTTCTAGGAGCGCTCAGCGATGTTAACTCAGCATACATTGACCATAATCACGAAGGCGATATGGATGACAATACCAGTATGTCGTCAAGAGCATCATCCAGAATATTTGATTCGGACGCCATGATGTCACTGGATTCTCTTAGTGCCCTGTATGATTCGGAATACGACAATTGCTACAGAACAGATGACGATTTGAATGCTGTTCCAGATTTAGAAAGACTCAATTATTTCTCAGTGCCTGCCAATGATGTACATCTTGCGAATATTCGTTCGATGAGCGAATCCATCACTAGAAACTTTGGGCAACCTAGAAGTGAAACAGATCCTGAAAGTGATGTTTAAATTTAGAAGACAGTATTATGTATTTTTGATTTTTTTTTTGACCCGGGCGGTTATAACGGAAATATAAATAAGGAGTGAAAAACTCCCGAAGTGTTCATCACCATATGCATTATGGAATTTATTTGAAAGTTGAATACAAAATAAGGTAAATGAAACAAAGAAAACTGTTTGTCAGATTTGAAGTTTTCTTGGACGAAACGTATTCTTTGATCATTTCTTCGAAAAAAAAAGCATTGAGAATATCACTGAATTTTGTGCCTGTAATGGTAAGACTTATGGGTAGATTCAAGAATTGGTTAGATATTTCCTGTAGATACTGAATGCAATGGTGCTTATAGCATTAAAAAAGAAGGGCTGAATTATGTGATTTTTACTTATATTGTTAGGTGGCTCTCTAAATGAAAAATGTCGATCACCTTTTTTGCAGTTGGTTATGAACCAAAGATGCGGTAATTATGTTGGATATTATTTTTTAGTGAATAGTTGCTTGAAACTAAAATTGTTTGTTTCGCTGAATTGATACTGAGTAGTGAACAAGATAAACAAGATAAAATATTTTGGCATTCTAAAATATGAATGTTACCAACCAAAATTTCAATAGCAAAATAATAGGGCTTCAGAGTTTTCTGTTTTCGATGACTCTGACCTACTTCTAATGATATTTAATTTCACTATCTTGAATCAGACTTTACTAATATCAGGCGTGTTTTTAATTACACTTACATGCTGAATATTTGACTGAAACTCATTCAGTAGATTTTCAATAAAATTATGATATTTACTAGTGATTATTCAGGATCCTCTGATTATTTATATGTTCCAGTCTATGTTTTACCTCGATACCAACGATGCAATATTTTTGTATTATGTGCTGTTTATAGTTGATTTTTCGAATCGTGATGTGCAATTATAATTCTTCCTGTACTTATAATAATTTCTATTAGGTTTTACTGTTAGGCTTGACTCAGACGTCTAGAAATTATACTGTTTTTGATATTGAGAGTAGAAGAAAAAAACATTTTCGAAATATTATTTGAGAATGTACCATATTATTATTAGAATTTATCTACAGTAATTAAAAATATTGTCTAATTATGGATAATACATCTTTCTGCACTTGTGGAAGTAAATAATAATAATATTGTATTCCTAGATTGGTGGATTTTAAATTTCAGCCATGTCATTAGCATTGAAGAGTTTAGGCCTTTACAATCCTTTACAAGCAATAAGGAGTCATTGAAAGATTCATATTCTGAACAAAAGTGCTGTAAAGTTATTGAGATATCGATTATAGAAGTTTCAAAACAATTATTTCAAGAAAAAGTGTATACTGACTCCCATAAATTTCAAGGCTTCAATTATACTGAAGATACGATCCTAGAATATTCTGTTCACATATTGATTTTGTAAATATAAGCTAATACAAATCAAGCGTATATGTCTTAAATTATGAATTTTCCTAAATAACTTCACTAGGTCTCTCTTTTAGTTCTTTAATGTATGACATTCAATCGAGGCGTTTTTTTTTTAAATGTGTATCGTTTCCACCCGTCCCAATCACCAGAAATGTAAAACTCTTCTCGACGCGCATTTTACCAACCAAATTAGCTCCTTCAGAAGATGAAGAAATCTAATTCCTAACTCTGAAACTCTCTGTTTATTTCTGACAGGGTACACGTTTACCTTCAGAAACATATCAATGATTTTGGGTAAAAATTTGCGGGAAATTTTCTCGTGAAAGAAGAAAAGGAATACAATAGGCTGTTTGGAATTGTTCATAGTTTTCATGCCATACTACTATTTCCAGACTTTCGAAAACTTCCAAAAATCTAGGCCCCTGGTGTTCTGGTATTCTCAAATCGGATATCTGCTCCGAGTTCTTTGAAACGAGTTTTATTGGCTCGCTTGATCTGGCCGATATATTTTTTGTTACAGTCCTCACAGCTTATTTCATATGCCCGACTTTTCATTTTCCAACATCTCGTCTTCAGGGTTACCTAACAATTGTTGAAGTGAGCAAGAAGTTTCGAGCCAAAAGTTGAATATGAAAGTAGCCTTCAGGACTTCTTGCTTACTTCAACAATCACAAGATGCTGGATAATGAAAAATCAGGGATCTAGGAAATGAGCTGTGAGGCCTGTGACAAAAAAAGATGTCGGCCAGACTGAACGAGCCGTTGAAACTAGTTTCAAAGAACACGCAGCACATATCCGATTTTGAAGACCAGAAAAATCTAGTGTCGCTCAACCTCGCCTTAGAGAACGGCCATAAAAAATTTAAAACTGTCTGGATTTGTTGAGACCGGTACATGACACTAGATTTTTGGATGTTTTCAAAAGAGTTTTAGAGTTAGGAATTAGTTTTCTACGCCAGAGGTTCTAGTTTTACCCTTTGTAAGCTTATTATTTTCTTGAATTTTCTGGTAGTATTTGATAATGAAACTGGTCCTAAGTTGTAATTTTTTTACTTATGGTACTTCTCTAAAAGGTGAAACTGATTAAGAAAAAGAAAAAAGTAGGACTGTATTGCTGGAATAATGTGATAACTTTTGATAATATATGTCGTACAATCTCAGTATTACAAAATTCATAAACTGCGACTAATATATTTGTTTTCTGTGATCACCTTTCATAATTATAAGCACCTAAATAGAGCAATCATTCAATTTTTGTAAATGATATCATAACTTTACTTTATAGTTGTTTCTATATTTTCGCTAATGATTATTGTTCATGACAAAAATGTCATCTTGCTGTACATCCATTTTGGCGACGTTTCGGCATGTGCTACCCTTGGTAACTGAACTTGAAGTTCGTCTACCAAACAAAACATATGAATATGACAAGTTGGATCGTGCCGAAGTGTCGTGATAATGTCAAAGACGAACGGATGTGCACCCGGAATGATACTTCAACATGTGATACCTACCTGAAGTACTTCTTGTGTTATATCATATTTTATATACCTTAATACTTTTCTAATGTTTTATCTTTTTCATACTCAAAATAATAGATAAATATTCTTTTATAACATACTCAATCATTTTGTTTTGGAAGCATCAGAAACTCTGTCAGTTCACTGGAATAAAAATGTTGAATGGTTGCTCTGTACCCATTATTGGTGGTATGTAAAGTAAAGAATATATATATATTTCTATTTTTCATTAATGTTCATATATAATTCTGGATGTTGAAATTTTCGATTATAGTTATTTTTGTTCTTGTAAGTTGTATTTGTTGTAAATCTTTTTTTGTACTTTCATCTCTGTAAAAATATTATATAGTGTATGTTGAAAGAAATGTTTTAATAATTTATTGAATGCTTATGAAGTATTTGAATACATAATCAAAGACAAAAACATTATCTTTACATGAACTTTGTTTTATTTCCCCCATATTAGAATAAAATAGAAAAAATCTCATGTAGGTAACTTTACTTGTTATCCTAAATGAATAATTTTGAGACCAATATTTATTAGAGTGAAGGAAAATATATTTTGAATCATCGCCCAATAGCTAAATGTGGAGTTTTCCAACAATGCCTTCTGAAATAAATTGAACGTGTAATTTGCATAGGCAAACCTGGTTACTCATTTTTATAAAAATTCAGCTGAAAGTACCTTCGTAAACTTATACGGTCCATTGAAAAATCTAATCACAAAAAATTATTAAATATCTAATACTACTATGATAAGAACTCATTAATAAAATTTATTTAAGAATCATTTCTACATTTGTATTTAGCTCCTGATTAATGGTTGTTGGAAAATAAAATAATATTAAATTGCATGCTGTTGTATTATAATTTATGTTGAACTCAAAGTTGACTCACGGACTGGATTAAAATACGGATTGCAAATGATCAATAATTATGCATCATTATAAAAGGTGAATGTCGCTGAATTCTACTTATTTTTAACAGCTACATTCATATCCTCATTATTTTTTTTGCCATTCATTATTTCCATTTGATTTTCTTAACTGTAGCTCAAGGTGTTTATTGAAGGGCATATTTACATATACATTATAAACCGTGGATTTCTATAGTTGGAGTGACAGAAAGTCACAATTTAAGTTTGGTTCTCAATACTGTTACGAAGCTGAAGTATACCTAGTCAAAGTAATCTTTAGTGTGTATACTTAAAGCTATAGCATCTCAAAGACCAAAAAAACCAATACAGAGAAATAATGCCGATGCGAAGTAGTCCACTTGGACTGAAGAATTGGCGGTTCGTATTGGATAATTTTTACTAATCAAATTTTATGATTGCCTGAAGAGTCATAAAATTTAATTTGAAATCATGTTACGGAGACGAATAGAATGTGGGGATGAGTATCGCCGTTGTGTCACCAATATTCAGTTCAGTTTCGAAATTCGATATTGGTGCAGTTATAATTAGTTAAAATTTTTGTTATCTGTTTGAAATGTGAAACGTTTAGGATTGCGGGGCCCTATTAAAGACTGGATAATTTCTTATGTAACGGAAAGGCAATTATATGTGAAAATTGGGAATGATCTCTCAAGCCAATATAATGTAGGTATTGGAACCCCTCAAGGGAGTATCTTAGGACCACTCTTATTTCTGTTGTACATAAATGACCTACCTGACTTCATTGAAGGGAGAAAGGTGTTTATGTATGCAGACGATACGACAATAATAGTGACGGGCTCTTCGCTGAGTACTCTTAATGTGAAAGTGACCTCAGTAGTGAACCAATTCTATGAATGGTGTACAAGAAACCATCTTGTGGTGAACCTACGAAAAACTATGTTCATTCAATTCAACAGTGCACGCAGTAATGAACCAAACCTTGTCAATCTGAATATAAACAACAATCAACATGAATTATCAAGCTCAACAAAATTCTTAGGCATACATCTCGATAATAACATAACGTGGATCGAACAAATAGATAATACATGTAACAAACTCAAAAAAAGCTGCTTTGCCTTCCTAACACTAAAAAAATCTCTTCATGAATCATCTCTCCTGAAAGTAT